AAATGTTACACTAGGTGGGTTGTAGAACTTGCAACACAGATGAAATCACAGAAACAAGGGTAATGCGACATAAAATTCCTAAATATCTCAATCTAGCATGCCATCTTCACATCCTTTCTGGGTCCTTTCCTCCCTTTCCCAAATTTAAAAAGTTAGTCGATTTTTTTGCTGTTAGTCCAATGCTAAGGGATTTGTGTCAAATTCCCTCAGTCTTGAATTCATTAAAGCTGCAAGTAGACTTCTACTGCATTTGATCATTGCTCTTAGCATATGAGTTTAATGAAAGAGATTGCAACACATTGAGAGAAATTAAGCAGGGGTGGAGCTGTGAGTTAGATCGTAAAACACCTGCTCAACAACTCCTGAGTTTAAAGGCTGTAAACTTGCTTTAGCCATTGCTGCCTGCTGGGAAACTGTTGTGGAATCTAGCAGACCAGGGCCACAATGGGGGCATTTTCAAGCAAACAACAGGTAAGGAGTTGGAGAATACCAACTCAGATCCATTTTATTTGATTAGCTGTTTGGGCACTGTAGGTAGGGATTTGTCTTTGCAAAGATTCTTTAGTATGCTTTTTCTCTGCTACCCCAGATTTGTAAAACATTTCTTCTTAGGCATTTGTGGGCTATGCCTTCATCTTGATCAATAAGTGCTGGCTAAGAAAACGGTCAGATTCCCACTAAAGGTTTAATTCGCAAAGATCCACTCAGACTGTGGCTGGGCTGAAAGTGTGAGAAGGGTTAAAGCTCTTGAGGCAGTGATGAGCTCTTGTCAGCTAGAACACAGTTTATGTAGCAATCATGAAACATTCACAGAGTTCGAGTTTGTGGGCCAGGTATACTTGATGATGCATCCTATCCCTCCAGAACAGTATAATCTGAAGCTGTCAGCGTGGGAGCAGTGCAGAGTTTGCCTCTGACTGAGGTTAAAGTCACATTTCTTTTCCAGAGGAAAGCCCCATGTAGAACAGCAGTTCCAGACTTTGTGTGTATACAAAGCTGAAGTTACATTAAAATAAACACTAGATGTTCATGCTTTAGAATTCTTAGCTTTCTTTTGTGTTTCTGTTTAAAAAACATGTAGAAATCTACCAATAACGCACAGGAACTGAATTTTCAGCATGGTGAGAAAGGTTACTTTTAGATTAGCAAGGGAAGTACTTATGTTTGCCTTAGACATGGGTGGTGGTGGAGGAGTTGCACTATAAAGCAAAATAATTACAGGTTATGCCCAGGGGCTTGATGCTCTATTGGCAGCCGTGTTTATCCTCTTTTAATTGATTTATTCTTCTTTTTCTTTCACTTTCTGGCCACTACTTCAAAGCATAGTCCATGCATTTTCCTGATTCAATTATTCCCAAACTGCTTAGAGTGCACAAAGTTGGCATTTTAAGAGTTCTCTGGATTTATCTATAAGTATCTCCACCAGGAATCACCTGGAGCAGAACTTTTAAGGGTTGAAAGGACCATTAATAACAAACCATTATATGTATATTTCCATCACTCCCACCCCATGCTATTGGATAATATCTCAGGTCAGCTTTGGCCATATAAAATAATAGTATGATAAGTGGCAAGTTATATCAAAAGAATAGCTGTGGCCCACCTGCTAATTCTACAAAATACGTATATTTGATGGAGTACTGGTGGGGACCCAAATTCACCTTATTCAGAAACAAAATGAGATCAGTCACCCTTCTGGATGACATCTTCTGTATTCTGTAGGTTAGCCCCCATTGGTTAGGCTAATGGTGAAAGTTGGTAAGTGGCTGCATAGCAATGCATTGTGGTTTTATCAATATGATAACTCGGCCTCTCCAGTCACTGTGTAGGCCACTAAGAACTGAACAGAGAAGCTGTAAAAGGCATCAGAGATAGAGCTGGCAGAAAAAAATGGAATTGGTCATTGGTTCAACTATGATGGTGGCTACAAGCAGGTTGAAGAGCAAAGCAGCTTGTGGAAGCTTATAGGTGCCCACTGATTTGTCATAGCAATTACACATGCTTGGTGAAAGGTCCTTGAAAATGTCTGAAGGACCTCAGAAGTTTTTAGAGCATTACTGGAGAAGACATCAAGGAAAGGGTGGTGCTTCTGTGAACTTTGAACATGGATGGGAAGCACTTTTGTTGCAATAGTTATAGGCAAGGGCAAACGGTTTGGTGGGCTAACCAGAGCTTTAGGTAATATGAAGTGAATATGCATTTCTCTGAGCACAAACCCTTCTCAGATTTTGGGCTGATCTAAGAGCCAAGAATGGATATTTTATACCATGCTGGCAACCCACCAAGCTCAATAACCCTCGTAAAATAATAATTAAATCTTTGCCTGACCTTTCTTGGGTATCATTAACAGCCTCATCATTGATACCAAACTCCAGTAGCTGTCATATCATCCTCAGTAACTTCCACATCAGCAGCTACTATGAGATACATTGTCTGCCAGAAAGTAGGAGGTGTCTGGCTCTATCCCTTGCCAGGAAAACTAACTTTGCTGGAACAGCCCAGAGTTGTGCCACAACTGGCAGAAAGAATGACATGTGACGAAGTCACACAGGATGTTGCAAATGCTCTTAGTTATCTGGCAACAGTCACTGTATCAGGTGGATCATGGTGCAAAGGCATTGATCTGTGCATACATAACAGATATTTTCAACTGATTGCATTTTGAGTCACGGGGAGATCTAGTCTTGTCCTTACCAGACATAATCACGTGAAAAGTGTGAAGTTCTGTCTGAAGTTAAATCAGCTTGGGGCTTGCCTAGCTTCATGTGTTAACCCTGTTTGGCCCACCTACATCTTTACCTGCCCAACATGAAGAGCAGCAGGTTTGCTTGGTTTAGCCAAAATGGTCTCCCAGGTCAAATGCAGAGGACTAGTGACCCTAATTAGACCCACATTCCAAAGGTTCCTCAGCGTTCATTTAAAATGAAATTCAAGGTTCAAAATAAAATATCTTCAGAGAATCTAAGGAAAGTTGAAATTCTCCAGGTGGAGTTCACACATCTGACTAATATTGCCTAAGGTAGAATTCTGGGCAAGGTGTGTACTTTGTTTGGGTGGGGGAGGGAAATATGCATCATGATATGGTGTTTTTAGGAGAGAAATCAGCGTTTATTATCTGGTCAGGAGAGTTTCCACAATTCTAACTGCATTTCCTCACAAGTGGAGTTAAAGATATATTTCAAGGGTCTTGTTCTGGTGACACATTTGTAGAAATTCTGAGGAAAGTGTTCTTTTTAACACACGGCCAGATAGCCAAAGAACTTGGGTGCTATTTGCTGAAAACTCCTCCCTCCAGCGCATGATGAGGTGACCAACTCAGCGGTGTTAGTAAATTGTCTGCTAGCCAAAGCTGCTCATTTGGGCAGCTGCTAAAAGGCAGTGGCAAATGGCATCTGCTGTGATATGCATTTGGGCCTAGGTTGTTCAGTGAGAAGGCAATAATAATAGAGAAAAAAATCAAGCTAGCTGCATTTTAAAATGACAATCTGCACATAATCCAGCTCCCATCACCACAACCAGCTTGGTCAATTGTCAGCAATGATGGGAGCTCTAGTCCAGCAATATCTGGAGGTGCTTAGGTTCCTCACCCTTGCCCTACTGAAACTAAGCCTAAGCACTGAACCAAGAACACATCATTCCCTAATCCATCTTCTTCCCCTTCGATTGTTTTCTCTTCTGCATTGTCTTTTACATTGGAAGTTCCTTGGGGCAGAGACCTGGATGTGCCATTTTGGTTTGTTACTCTGGATAGTGACGAATATCTAGATGTGGCATGATATAGAAAAATAATTGATTAAATGGAAAATGTCGTTATTTTCTTCACAGTCCTAGGTTGCCAAAACTTTCACCTGTACTGCAGTCCTTTAGATACATTTGAGGCTTCAGCTAAGCATTTGTAGTCGTTTCAGTGGAACTGAAGAATAAATATAAGAGGAGGGGAATGCCTCGGTAGGCTTTTGCACATTTCTGGAGCAAGGATCAGATTCACCTCAGTCATGAACTCCTAGTCTGGCTTTGCCTGTGTCTGTGCAGGAATGTTGTGAAGAAAAGTTATTTAAGAAGCCCAGAAATTGACTGCTTATTTCCCCAATAATCATCAAGCGTCTTTGTACTGTGTTAAAAAATTAATTGGACAGAAAGGTGTAAGATGAAGCCTAAAGGCCTTTTGGTTACTATGACACTAAAAAAAAGTGGTTAAGAACACAAAGACCTTTGTGTTACCAGGGCCTGTCCTACTATTAGACAGAGTGAGGAGGCTGCCTCAGACTGCAAATGCTGAAGGACAGAGCTGTTTGTGGCATGCAGCCTGCTTTGTGGCTCCTAAGTTGTCAATCTGGGCTTCTTTAAGAGGAAAGTCAGGATATAAATTGAATGGATGGATGGATGGATGGATGGATGGATGAATAGATGTTGGCCTTCTATCCTCACTTGTGGTGAACCCTGCTGTTAAAGTAAGATTCAATTCCTAGTCCAGTTGGCTTCCATATGCGGAATGAGATGAAACACAATATTGTGCTTTGCCTCAGGCAGCAAAAAGAATCTGCGTTATCACTATTTCATAACTAGAGTAGAAGGTGCCAGGGAATATAAACCTATGCAGTGCATCGCATGGTACACCGGGCTGAAGGGATGGACAAGGATACAAAAGGGTTAAGGAGGAGGATGGGAGTGGAGGAGAGAAGCTAACCAACATGTGCCATCCTAGATCCATCTGCAGCAGCACAGGCAGATGCACTCATGGGCTAGTGTATATTATTGTAAGTAGACTTCAGACAATATGGCGGAACAGATTTCCCTTGCTTGGGTTGCTCTAGCTACATCAGTGCGACCTAATGCCTCATTGCAGCAAGGCATCTGTGAGTTTTTGCTGGGATGGGCTTGCGATTTTGTTTTTCTTCCTCCTTTCCTATGCCAGGCTGGAGGAGGGGGGCGATTTTGTATCCTGTCAAAAGTCAGCTAGATGCCATCTTTACAATAAGCTAAATGTTAACCCATCCTTCATGTTTGATTTTGTTCTGCAGACAGAACCTGCTCCCTGCAGCCTTCTCACCGTAAAGGTCATAAAAATGAAAAATCTCCGGAAGGCAGACCTGCGTGAGTATTTTGGTTGTTGTGAGAGCTTCCTTGTCATTTTAAGAAGCCTAGAGTCATACAAATATACTCATCACTGAATGATTTTTATATGCATGCCTCACAAGTCAGCATTTATATTCAGTGCAAGTAGAGAATCATTAGCATTTATATTCAGTGCAAGTAGAGAATCAACTTAGCTCAAACATTGCCATATAGAAGGAAAAAGTTGTATGCAGGATCTAAACTACACCCAGCCCTATGCAAATACAATTTGAAAGTACACTGGTACCTCGGTTTAAGAACAGTACTGTTTAAGAATGATTCAGTTTATGAACTCCGCAAAACTGAAAATAGTGTCCTGGCTTGAGAAGTTTACCTCGGTCTAAGAAGGCCACTTCCGCCTTAAGGAGGAGGTGGTATTGTGGGCTCTCACGTGCACAGGGGGTGGGTATCCAACCCCACGTGACTGGGGGATACCCAGCTGGGTCACTGACCAGGCCGACCAATCTGTTTGGTCTGGGAGTGTGGCCTACCTGATAAAGACAGGACGGGAGATCTCTCTCTTTCCGGCTTTCCCACCCTCCCGCCCTTTAAGGTTTTCATCTCTTTTGACCTTGATATGGACTTCAGTTGGTCACCGTTGAGGGGCCTGGTGGGAATTTTTCCACTTGGCAAATTGGCACCAGCCACTTGGATTTCGCCTACCTCATGGCAAATTGTCACAACTTTTTAAGGTTTGGTGGTTAGGCATTGGAATATTTCTGGAGAAGAGAAGAGGGGAGGTAGTGCCATCACCTGCCCCGCATATTGAAGGGTATTCCGGGGGGCGTGGTCCTGTCCAAAGCCTAGGGAGGTTAGGGCCTAAGGCACTACGTCTATCGGTGAACCCTGGGGGAGCTCCTAGTCGATGTGCATCAGCAGAACTCTCCCTACTGGTGGTTAACCCTTCTCAGACTCTCTGCAGATGGGCTGGAGTCAGATATAATCGGTTAGATCCAATGCCTAAGCCAATACCACTCATCTGCAGCCAATGAAATTGTGGCCATTTTTAGCCCATTAACCTTAAATAGTTGAGTCATGTGTCTTTATTCAACCAAGGGGGGGAGGGTCAGGACTTTGCCACGCAATGTAATCCGAATGGTGGAAGGGCAACAGTGGCTGTAGGCCTCATTAGGGAAAGCATGCCTTGGTTTAAGAACGATTTTGGTTTAAGAACGGACTTCCGGAACGGATTAAGTTCGTAAACTGAGGTACCACTGTATCTTTACTACTTAACATGAGATGATGGCTCGATGAAGCAAGAATTGATCACGCATAAGTGCATCTTTGAGCATGGATCTTTTATTTACCAAAAGACATGCAATAGCAGGCTTGGCAGAAAAATAAACATCTTAGGCTTGTGGGGAGGAATCTAATGGGAAAGTTCCCCCAACAGCTCAGTGAGAACTGAACATACTCAGTCATCACAGGATGCTGACTGATGGGGGATTGTTGTTGTTGTTTAGTCGTGTCTGACTCTTCATGACCCCATGGACCAGAGCATGCCAGGCACTTCTGTCTTCCACTGCCTCTCGCAGAGGTCAAACTCATGCTAGTAGCTTCGAGAACACTGCCCAGCCATCTCGTCTTCTGCTGTCCCCTTCTCCTTGTGCCCTCCGTCTTTCCCAACATCAGGGTCTTTTCCAGGGAGTCTTCTCTTAGTGGAAGGAAAACCAGGGGTAGTGGAAATAGAATGGAGTTTCCTGGAAAAGGGCATGATTGGCCAGCTGAAAGTGGAATGTTCCACATGGCAACATTTTGCTTCAGGTTCTACTTGTTTCTCTTTATTTTTATTCCAGGAGTTCTAACAAATACCCAGCCTTGGGAGAGTGTATGAAAATGCCTCTGGGGGGATCTGTCACTAGTTAGATACCACCATACTTGGTGATATTTCAGCTGCTGCCTGTAAACCATTTACCTCCAAATAATGGTGGCATAGTCTCTGATGTCTGTGGGATTTCAGGGAGACTATAGTAACAAAGAGCACGACTGTTGATTGCAGTAATTGGCAAGTTGTCTCTTGTATGTCGCTACTGGAAGCTTGTGATCAGCAACATCTCCAAGCCTCATTTTATGTGAAGAAGCCAGATTAGCATCATGAATAATAGGAAGGTGTTGCGCAAACAAATTGTGCCAGTAAAATGGGAGCATTGGTTGGAAAGGATGTGCCCTGGCCTTATTATTATTATTTTTTAAATGCAGCAAGCTCTAAATGGAAAAAAGTGTGAGGTGAAAAGAACCAGAAGAAAGCAGAAGACTTTATTCATGAAACTTGTTTGGGCAGTTGAAATAACATCTGATGCAGAAGGTTTTAAAATGGGAAGTTATTAAGCTTGTTTTTTTGCAACATTGGGTAGGCTGACATAGCAAGGTGCTGGCATCTGAGGCCAAAGCTAAATTGAAAGACATTGCTGATTCACAGAATTATGAGAAAAAATTAAATTATACAATATTAACCGAATGATCTCATGGCCTGGAATACTATATACAATTTAAGACTGGGACAATTTAGGACTAGAACTGTATTCTTGCTAACTGAGGCTGATCCAATAGCTGAAAATGAAAATTTATTGATGAATTGCCATATACACCACCTGCTGCACTTGGAAGTGTAACTCACTGGGTTCCTTTAGCTATATTGGCTCCATCCTCTTGTCAGTCTCTGTCAGGCAGAACAGAAATAGGCTGCTGGAAACTCACTGCTTCACAATTCAACAGCAAAGCCCTCAGACTGCCTCCCAGAGAACACTGCCTCTGCTGGACCAACCTGCTTGTCCTTGGACATAATTCTGTGTAGAATTATTAAATTCAATTGAGTGGAGCATAACATATTCTTTTATTCCCACAACCATTTGATGGATGACACATATGTACTTCTAGCCTTGATCTTAATAGTGGTTAGGGAGGAGGTGAAAAGGTAGTGGTGGGCTTTGTGGCGGACAAGTTTACTTATGACACTAAATTGTTCAGGTTTTTTAAAAAAAACAAAATGAGATAATGGAGAGCTCCAAAAGGATCTCTCTAAACTGGGTGAATGGGTAGTAAATGTTAGTTATAAGTTTAATGTGTTTAAGAGTATTGTATTTAGAAATGGTGTATGGGAAGGCGGGGCTTTTTTGTGCCTTAGGCACAGAGGTAGTGTTTTTCCATTGTGAATGAGCTAAACATCTTGTGGCTCATCTCATGACCCATCACAAGACACAACCAAAGAGAACCCGTGGAAGTCTATTTACCTGGAGGTTGCTTGCAACAGGCAGAAGCAATCAGTCAGATACAGTGCATTTTTTTAGATATATAGAGACTTAGGAGCCAATTCCTAGGGGCCGTGGAGGCTTTGGCCCTCACAATAAAATATTTGAGGGACCGGGCCCCCACAAAGTTGATGGGCATTCCCATTCAATCATTAGACTGATTATGCAGTGTGGGGCTAACCTGGGCCCCCACAATATTTTATTCAAGTTGGCAGTCCCAGTGGCGTAGCATGGGTTGTCAGCACCCGGGGCAAGGCAAGTAATTTGCGCCCCCTAACCCGTGGATTTGCGCCCCCTAACCCGTGGATTTGCCCTAACCCCAGATGTTGCGCCCGGTGTGGCTGGCCCCCCCTGCACCCCCCACGCTATGCCACTGGGCAGTCCTGTACAGAGAAACTTCATTTTACTAAAGATGCTTAATATCTCACTTTGGGAGCAGAGATAGGAACTGAAAATCATTGCTTATTTTTGCAATGTATTACTTAGTTACAAAATATAAATGTTACAAAAGAACGAAGTGTTTAAAATTGTTCTGAAGTAAAGCTTTAAAATTCATTCTTGTGGTGGAGTGAATTGAATTCTACACAAGGTCCAGAGCAGGGGTATTTGTTGTACAACTCTAACAGTAAAATGGCAAATGAAATTCTATATGAACAAGTATAAAGTAATACATGCTGGAGCAAAAAAATTAAATAAAATCTTAATTTCACATACATGCTTGTGGAGTCTGAAATGGAGGTGACAGAACAGGAGTGAGACCTTGGGGTCACAGTAGATAGCTCAATGAAGATGTCAACCCAGTGGGCGGCAGCCATTAGAAAGGCAGATTCCACGCTGGAGATAATTAGGAAAGGAATTGAAAATAAAACTGCCAATATCAAAATGCCATTATACAAATCTATGGTGTGACGACATTTGAAGTCCTGTTCTGGTTGCCTCACCTCACCTCACCTCAAAAAGGATATTGGAAAAGGTTCAGAAAAGGGCAGCCAAAATGAAAACAGGGATGGAGCAGCTCCTTGATGAAGAATGGTTGCAGCATTTAGGACTTTTTAGTTTAGAGAAAAGGTGCGTAAGCAGTGACATGATCAAAGTTCATAAAATAATGCATGGCATTGAGAAAGTAGATAGAGAAGAGTTTTTCTCCCTCTCTCATGACAGTAGAACTTGCAGACATCCGAAAGGGACCCTTGACCATTAGGTCCAGTCGTGGCTGACTTTGGGGTTGTGGCGCTCATCTCACTTTATTGGCTGAGGGAGCCGGCGTACAGCTTCCGGGTCATCTGGCCAGCATGTCTAAGCTGCTTCTGGCGAACCAGAGCAGCACATGGAAACTCTGTTTACCTTCCCGCCGGAGCGGTACCTATTTATCTACTTGCACTTTGACATGCTTTTGAACTGCTAGGTTGGCAGGAGCAGGAACCAAGCAACGGGAGCTTACCCCGTCACGGGGATTCGAACCGCCGACCTTCTGATCGGCAAGTCCTAGGCTCTGTGGTTTAACCCACAGCGCCACCCACGTCCCTTGAAAGATTTAGGACACATAAAATAAAGTTATTCTTCGCATAGCACATAATCAAACTATGGCGCTCGCTCCCCCAGGAGACAGTGATGGCCACCAATTAAAATGGCTTTAAAAGAGGCAAATTCATGGAGGGAAAGGCCATTGATGACTATGCTGTTGATGCTCTGCTTCCATGGTAAGAGGCATGTCAGTTGCCGGAAACCACAGGACAGAAGAGTGCTCTCATGCTCATGTTCTGCTCCTTGGTTTCCTGCATGCATCTAGTTAGTCACTGAGAACAGGAATGCTGGACTAGATGGGCCATTGGCTTGATACAGCAGGCTATTCTTATGCACTTACGTTATTATGTTTAATTGGCTGGAAACTGCCGATCACTTATCAGCAATGTTGTGTTGTGTTGATAGCGGCAAAAGTATCCATCTGCTGACAGAGAACAAAAGCAGGAAGGGTTGCCCTTGTTGAGATGGCTTAGTGACACACTCACCATGCAGCTACAAATTAGCTGTATTTCATGGCATCACTGTAGCATCATAATGGTATCATGCTCTTAATGTTATCATGCTGTGTGATTGGAATAGACCACAAGGGCCATCGAGTCCAACCCCCTGCCAAGCAGGAAACACCATCAGAGCACTCCTGACATATGGTTGTCAAGCCTCTGCTTAAAGACCTCCAAAGAAGGAGACTCCACCACACTCCTTGGCAGCAAATTCCACTGTCAAAAAGCTCTTACAGTCAGGACGTTCTTCCTAATGTTTAGGTGGAATCTTCTTTCTTGTAGTTTGGATCCATTGCTCCGTGTCCGCTTCTCTGGAGCAGCAGAAAACAACCTTTCTCCCTCCTCTATATGACATCCTTTTATATATTTGAACATGGCTATCATATCACCCCTTAACCTCCTCTTCTCCAGGCTAAACATGCCCAGCTCCCTTAGCCGTTCCTCATATGGCATCTTTCCCAGGCCTTTGACCATTTTGGTTGCCCTCCTCTGGACACGTTCCAGTTTGTCAGTGTCCTTCTTGAACTGTGGTGCCCAGAAGCCCTGGTTGCCTAAGCCCTGGTTGTAATTTATAACATTAACATTAATTATTCTGAAATATCTGGCCTCCTGATCATCTGACCTTATACTGTTGGCAGAGGCAGATTTAGGGGTGTGTGACCAGTTCGCAGAGGCAGAGGCAGATTTAGGGGTGTGTGACCAGCAGAGCCTCAGGGGCGCCAAACTATGCTTTAGAATGAAGCATGAGAGGCTGCCCCCCCCCCAATTTTGGTGACACACAGGGAACTGCTGAAATTTGAGACCCCAGGGTCTGTCATTGCTGTTGGCAAAAATGACAGCAACTGCCACAGTTATGTCTCAGAGCTCTGATATGCCTGAAAGGATCCCTGAGGACTACTGAACTCTGGTGTTAGCGGCTGATTGAGATTCCACTAATTGTTGGTCTGTATGCTTTACTCAGCGCCCAAGGTCTAAGTCTGGGTGGAGGCGAGGAAGAAGAACCCCACCTATTGAGTCTTGACTAGTGACACGCAAAAGAATTAGGAATTGGAAAACAGGAAGAGATGCTATTCTATAGGGAGCCATGGGGGTGGATGGATGGACAAGGTATTGCTTGCATGACTGCAATCAGATTGATCATCAACATACTTGAGAACTGGGAAGGAATGTTGTCCCAAGTCAGCTGGGAAAATCACGGAGCTTTCTTTCCACCCACATGTCTATGAGGCTGCATGCTGCAAAACCTGTTTAGTTCCAGTCACAAGTGTCTGCCTTTGAAACCTAGACTTATTCTTACAAGCCTTTTTGGTAATATGGCCCATCTAGACTTATGCTAATGATATAAGCTTACTACTACTCTCCAGTCTCTTCCTTCCCTATCCATTCAATGTATCTGCCACACTTCTGAAGGCACTAGTTGTTCATTTGTGGGTGTCACATTTGAATATGCTGTATGTGCTCTTAAAATCCAACACATGTAGATCCCTGGATTTTATCTGGGATATCGGTCATATTGTTTAGGTAGAGTGTTGGATTTCACAGATGTATGGCCTATTCAAACGTCATGGATATATAGCAAGGCACCAAAGCCCAGTTGGCAGGAGAGAGAGCAAGGCTGCCCTCTGCCCATATGCAGATTTTGGGAGTACAGAATTCCAACAAGACCATACTAAATTCAGTGAGCATTGATGACATTCTGTAGTCATCTGGGCTTTTGACTCGCTAAAGATCCAGTCAGGGTCTAACTGGGAATGGGGAGATGACCCAACAGAAGTTTGGGCAGAGGAAGAGCTGGCAATGGCTATATAGGAGCTCAATCTCCCTTGGACCTTGGCTGGCTTATCAGCTCCCTTTTGAGCTTATTCATCTTTATCTCTAGTCTCCACAACATCTGCTGGTCATGGATCTTCATCCTAGACAGTCCCCATTTTTCATCCTAGACAGTCAGTCCAGAAGGATACCATAGTCCATGATATCCACAGCCACCAAGAGTTAATTGAGAATTTGCTCAGTCACACTCTCCCAATCCTTTTCTCAGCATTTCATTCATCAGTGCACGAAGGACCCAGGCCTGAAACCAGATTTAAATGGATCCAGATAATTGGTGATATCCAAAAATATCTGGAGTTTCAGGGCAATCACCCAAGAAAGGTATGTTTGTGACCAGCTAGTTGTTGCCTAACCTTGAGGTCCTTGGAATGCTTTTTTAAAAAAATGAATGGGACCACATATTCACTTCAGAAGGTATTGATAAATTAATTCCCATAACCAGATGGGGAAGGGGCAGAAGAAGGAATAGCCTTCAACTTCCCTTTCACTCTTAACCAGCTTGCTTGTCCTCCCTTTACTGAATCTGCCCCTGCCTGTAATAACTTCAGTTGGGTGCTTTTCTTCCTTCTGAGCTGATGCAACTTAGAATTGCACAAGCATCTAGTGAAACTGAGCACAAATCCAAAACCCTGGAGCCAAGAGAGTGCAATGTATCAAAAGCCAGATAAAACCAAACTAAACACATTTCACTTTGGCAGAGGGGAGATAAAGTGCCTCATAGATGCAGAAAGATCAGACTGCAAACTAATTTAGCAGCAGCTGCAGATAAAGTAATTAATCTCATGAAATTGTATAAAACTCATTACAGAAGCAAGAGACAAAGTATATAAGATGCTGCAAAGTTAAATGGCAAGAGTAGATTCCAATCTCCTTTTTTAAAAATAATTTATTATTGATTTTCAGTTAAGCAAAAGAAAAGAATGAGAAAAAACAAAAACAAAATATCCCTCAAAGTGAAATTTCCAGTCCACGGATGCTCTTTGAAAATACTATTTCAAATCCATAGATGCTATGAATGAAAGGGTTTCTTGTGATAGTGTTAGAAGTTTTGCTACAGCATTTAGCTACCGCCTTCCATCCCCCCAAATATGGCTTTCCATTTAGCTTTGAACAAGTATGATTTCCATGCTAAGGGCTCCTCTACTAAAAGGGATTTAATGGGCATGGAAAGTGCCCCCAAATGCTTTTTTTTATTTAGCACAAACTCCACCAGAATGTTGGACTTGGTGATCCGCTCTACTCCAGTTCTTTTTGTTAATTCAAAGCAACAGCTTTGGCATCAGGGTTTGTGTTAATTAATTTTGTTTGTTGCATTAAGTATCATTTTTTTGATATGCAGGTGGAAAAAAATATAGGGCTCCTGACATGTGTGATCTCTTGTAATGAATTCCTTGCTATTGTCTGAAGTGCTGTGTAGGACAAACATTCCTTAATCTAGAACTAAGATGTGGTTGCTTTCTGGGAATGCACCACAATAAAGCTCCAGCCCTGCTTCTATAAGGAATAATTAGTACCTCGTTTACTGGCTTTGGCAGTGTCTGTGATGCCATAAAATATAAGCTGCTCTGCACGGCAGTGAGTGTATTGTCTAAGAGTGATCTAAGGGACCAATTACGTGGGACGTTGATAATGCTGTTCGCAGAATTTTCTTTAAAATTCTAAATTAAAAAATGCCAGTACGCTCTAATTCCGCCCCCCCTGCAATTCCTAATCCAGATTGGGATTTTGGCGTGGAAAATATAGGCACCTGAGCCCTTTATCCCTAACCATGAACCCGATTCAGACTGGGGGCACAACTCCTGAAATGCAAATCATCCAGATCAGGATTTTTTTTTGGGGGGGTGCCAAGTGCTAAAATCCCACCCTGTGCTAAGGTCCCAATTGGATTGTGTTCATAGTACAGTGTTACCTCAGGTTAAGTACTTAATTCATTCCAGAGGTCTGTTCTTAACCTGAAACTGTTCTTAACCTGAAGCACCATTTTAGCTAGTGGGGCCTCCTGCTGCCGTCGTGCCGCTGGAGCACGATTTCTGTTCTCATCCTGAAGCAAAGTTCCTAACCTGAAGCAGTATTTCTGGGTTAGCGGAGTCTGTAACCTGAAGCGTATGTAACCTGAAGTGTATGTAACCCAAGGTACCACTGTACTGGTTATTTCTGCCAGAAAAACCCTGTATTCAACCTGACATGAATATCTGAATTTATACATAATAAGCACAGCTTAAACACTGCACTGATAGTTAAATCCTAAGCATAATTACTCAGAAGGAAGACTCACAGAACTCATTTGGAGTCATTCCAAAATTTAACATGCTTAGGCTTGTGCTGTAAATACTTATGAGTTGCATATTGCTATTTTATTGCTAAAAAATCACATCTTTTGCAATAGTAACCCAGTCTGATTGCTACGTGACTTTGTGGATGCCTACTGCTTCAGTGAAAAAGACTAGGACCCAGACCGTGAAGGACAACAAAGACCCGGTGTGGAATGAAACATTTCACTTTAGGATTCAAAATGAAGTAAAGGTAAGGAGCTGTGCCAACGCTCTTAAACAGGAATTGCTACTTATTTAGGCAATCACAGAAGCAGAGGACTGGGAACTGCACAGGTGTCACTTAAAAGCAGGGCCATAACTAATGAGACATCACTATGGAGATACTCCCAATATTTACTCCTCTTCCCAAGTGTTAACATCATACAAATTCAAAGAGGACTGTTCTACTTTCTGGGAGATGACACATACATAATACTAAACGGTTAAAAGTTTAGAACAGGAATTACCCCTGGATTGACCTCCTTGGATGGGGTTGAGGAACCCATACCCTTCAGATGTTGTTGGACTACAACTTCCATAATCTTTGACCATTGACCATACTGGCTATGGCTGATGGGAGTTGGAGACCAACAATATCTGAAGGGTCACTGATTTCCCATCCTCACCTCTGGGGTGAGGCATGTGTGACTGTGACAAACATCTTCAGCGTAGTGAGGATGGTTATACCAGTCAGGGCCTTGGTTGGGAGCAGGGCAAATCTGAGCTGGGTGAAGGTTAAGTTCACAGCTGGCACTAAGATAAATTGAAGTTCTTATCCCAGCAAGGGCCCAGGAAAGATTGGAAGGTTTATATCCTCTAAGGCAGCTCCTCTGTTTTCCTGGTCATCTTCTGGATCACAATATGTCCTCCTTTGGCTTTTCCCTCCTCCTGAGAAAAAACCCAGCTATTGAAATCCTACGGCTGTTGGATAAGTACCCCTCCACTGACTATGGATGTCTTGCTGGACTATCTGTTTTGAGGGGTTAGAAGAAAAGAGGGAGAGTCTGGATCAAGGGGAAGAAGGTCCAGAAAGGGGCAGCACAGTACATTCTGATGCCTGAGGCCAAAGACCCATTTGAAGATGAAGGACAGTGGATTGGCACTGAATCCTTCAGCACTAGTGGTGGGACAATTTTATTCACTACAGCTGAGGGCAGCAGTCTGGCTTAGGAGTTGCAGGGCAAGCCATGTGGTGTGCATACAGCTCAGTCCGCTGACACCTTTCTATTGCTTCCTGTCCACCAGTATTTGCCACCTGAAGTACTGCCTCACTCTGACTATTGGTAGGGCCAGCCCTGAGTTCAGGTCTGGGGTGGGGGACATCAGACTGCTCAGTTGTGAGCTCTTTGGGGTCTTTGGTGCTCCTGGAGTCCCACTCCTCTTCCTTGGATGAGGTGCCCCTAGAGAGAGAGGCTAGTCTATGAGAGGTTCTAAAGTTCTTCTCTGGATTTCTCTAGAACATTCTGGAGCTTAAAGTTACTGATGAAGATAAGCATACTGCAGATGACCATCTCCTCACTGTTTTCTTTGATGTTTCTAAAATCCAACTTGGTGAAACAACCCGCCTGAGCTTTCAGCTGAATCCAAAAGTGAGTACTGCAAATAAAAAACAGGCTGTGGAAAACAAATCCACATTTCTCTCAATTTTCAATGAAGTTCCCTTTCAGCTATTAAGCAATGGCACCATATAAAAGAATTACACTTGCTTTGAATACACAGACAACAACAAAAGAGTTTTGTGGCACCTTAAATCTGACAAATTTTATCATAGCATAAGCGTTTGTGAACTAGAGTGCGCTTCATTAGATGCATGAAGTGTGTATATATACATACACAAAAACATATGTACTTGGGTATAAAAGAAGAATAAGAAGAATCTAAAGGCTAAAGTTAAATGGCAATAAAATGGAAAAAAGTATAGCCTGATAATTCAGTTAGTTTAAAATTATGCAAACCTACCCTTCACAACAACTATGGTTAGTTATTTTAGCATTACTTAGCTGTGGAAATATAGTGAGATCTTAAATGTATGCAAAACAAGCTCGGTGACCCTTCACAGCAGTGGCTGTTGATAAACAAATCATCCACCTATAGAGGATTACATATCTAATTGACCTAATTGAATACAGTGGTACCTTGGTTTACGAACTTAATCCGTTCCTGAAGTCCGTTCTTAAACCGAATCTGTCCCCAATGAGGCCTCTCACCTTTCCCCAATGAGGCCTCTCACCGCTGGTGCCCTTCCACCATTTGGTTTCCATTTGTAGACGGAGGTAAAGTTCACAAACCGGAACGCTGCTTCCAGTTTTGCAGAGTTCGTAAACCAAATCGTTCGTAAACAAGTTCTTAAATTGAGGTACCACTGTAGAAATAAACATTTTGATACTGAATACACCAGTGATTCCCATATCAAACATGTAAAGTATGAACAGTATGTGTGTTTCTTTAAACATCTGAGTCCAGTCCAGACAAGGCAATGTACACTAGGACCCAAACCCAAAGAGTGCTAGTCACACTCAAGTCCCATTGAATTAAATGTGGCTAATTGTTTTTGACTGAAATTAAAGGGATTTGAGTTCTATATTTTTTTCCTACTGGGACTGCAGCCAAAGCTGCTTGGGCATCACCAGTGCTTCCATGTGGTATGGAGAGCAAGCTGTCTTGGGACATAATCGGGCAAGGCACATCAGCAGGGCCTTTTGTTAGTAAGATCCCACCTACCCCCTGGTCAATGGCTCCCGCAGTGGACCTGAGAGGTATAGCCTAGGGACAGCTGAATAATCTTTACCAAAATGCTCATTTTTAGGGGAAACTGCTTGCAAAGATGTGTATATTAGTCAAAACTGCATTTAAAAATGTGTTTATTAGCAGAAATCCACACTAAAATGCTGACAAATTTCCAAGAGGATTAAAAAATAATAATCTCAAGTTTCTGCAGGAATGTGGAGAGCTGGATTTATGACTGGAAAGATGAGAAACTGAGAAAACCAAAATGGTCAGGTCCTTCAATCCCTAGCTGCCTCTGAGGTGACTTGGCTTCTCAGTCCTGCCCCCTGACTTCCAGTCGTTGAGGGTGGACTTCTGAGTTGCAGAAGGAAGTTGTAACCCTGGCTGGACAGGATTCTAGCTCCTATGGAATATTATGCTCCTAGTCTTCCATAGCATGAATGTCCACAACTCAGGGCATGGACTCCCTTCCCTTGACTAATGTGTGAAGTGGGCTTTATTATTCAAGAGAATGTGTGAACATGCAGTCACTGTTTTTGCTTTTTAAACTTTCAGGGTAAGGAGGAACTAGAAGTTGAATTCACAATGGAGAGCAGGTAAGAACAACTGTTGTTGCACATACCATTAACAAAACTGCCATGCAAAAAATAAAATAAAATGCAGCATTGATAAAGAGCTTGCCTTGTATCTCTCTTGGTACAAAACCTTTACTATATATCTAACTAGGTATTGCTGATGGTGTGTATTCATATTCTGTTATTGGGGCAATAATGGTCACTGAAGGATTGATGTGGCATAGCAGGGGCTAACATATTGATGGGGATATAGTAGCATTTGCTAAAGGGCTTCAGCACTGGCAATTTATAGGGAGGCTATTGAAGGCATCAAGGAGATTGCATGATAGAACTACTCCTTTACTGTTTCACCTCAGTCGACAGATGGAGAAACCTTGTGACTGGATGCTCCATATAAAACTCCTTGCATACAGAAAACTAGAGACCAGGGAGAAGAGTTCCTGCACAGCATGTGCCATGATATTCCTGATCCAGAGCCTCACATGTTCTACAGCAGTGTTTCCCAACTTTGGGTCTCCAGCAGTTTGGGACTACACCTCCCATCATCCCTAGCTAGCAAGACCAATGGTCAGAGATGATGGGAATTGTAGTCTGAAAGCAGCTGGAGATCCAAGGTTGGGAAACACCGCTCTGCAGCATTTTATAGGGCTCCTCTACAACCAGTCTTCTCTGTTCACTTCCATGGAGAGACAACTCATTCTTGTACATACAGCTTCTGCTTTTATCTAAATGAATGGAAAAGCTGCTCTTGTGGGTGGGGAAGCTGTGTGGGCACCGGAGCTGTCATATGTGTAAATATGGTGTGGAGAGATGCCAGTGAGAGACAGGTGGCCCAGGGGTTGCCTCAGAGCGCACAGCTCCAATTTGTAGCATATGCCAGCCATGCGCTCAAGTCTCGTCCACCATATGGTTGTTCCCAGGAAGGGAGATTCATCCCATAATCTGCTTGTCCTGATTCAGGTAGGTAGCCGTGTTGGTCTGATGCAGTCAATATATATATATATATATATATATATATATATATATATATATATATATATTTGCTTTCGTAGATTTTCACGGGTACAGGAATGCAGGTTTTGGTGTCCTCGGGTGTCTTCCCGTGTAAAAGTTGGGGTGTCTAGGCGACGTTTCGACGAGGTCTCACTCGTCATCTTCAGGCTGGTGCTTTCGGCTTCTTGTTACTGGAACAGAGCAGGATCTCAGTGTTTGAGTTCCTATAAATACTGTTGAAGGGGTGTGGTGTATAGCCTCCAATGTTCTGGGCAGAGAGGAAGTTCCCAGGCTAGTGTGCCTTTTCTTCTTTTGTTCCTTAATTACTTGAGGGATATCTTGAGTGATTTCTTGAGTGATATTCTGAGTACCACTTAGGTGGGTCATTAGGTGTGGATTAGTTGCTAAAGCCTTCGTGTCTTGACCTCTTGAACTTTGTGAAGAGTTTTTCTGAGAAGATGGCTGTACTGCACTTAGTTGTGCTCTGGCTTGGCTTCGTGTATAGGGGCGAGCTGTGGTTTTGTGCCCTGTGCCAGCCAGATCTGTGTAGGGATTGCAGGGGGGTGCAGCATCCGGAGGTGCCACCATGGTTTGGCTACTGGATGGTGTCTGTAATTTATCTGTGGAGAGGGTCTGGGTTTGGGTCTGGTGTGGTTGATTGGTGATGGCGTTCTGTGTGCCTCTGGATCTGGTGTCGGTTTTTGTGGGGAGGGCTAATTTCCAGATGTCTGGCAGGCGGGACGTGTCGTCACGCTTGTTCATGTTGTGAGGGTGTTTCTCTATCTCGATGGCTTCCATGATTATTCTCTTGTGGTGATGTTCCATGTTAAAGAGCAATTTGGAATCTGCAAAATTAATTTCGTGTCCTGTTTCTTTCATGTGTTGGAAAAGAGAGGAAGTTTTTTCTTCTTTTTTGACGGCATTCTTGTGTTCTGCGATACGTGCATTTATTCGTCTGTTTGTTTGTCCAATGTACGTGGCTGGGCAGACTTTGCAGGGTATTTCATAGACCCCTTGGTTTTCCAACTGGATTTTATCTTTGGGGTTTCTGAGGATATTGGCTATTTTTTGGTTGGTGCAAAAGGCTGTTTTGATATTGTGTTTATGGAGGATTTTGCTAATTTTATCTGTAGTACCCTTGATATAAGGAAGGAGGGCCATGCCATTGTTTTCTTCTGTGTCTTGGTTTTTGGGGGGTGTTTCTTTTTGGATTAGCTTCGTAACCCTGTTTTGCTGGTATCCATTGGCGATTAACACATTTGAGAGATTCTGTAACTCAGTTGTCAAGTGGTCTTTGTCAGCCAGGCGTTTGGTTCTGGAGATGAGAGTCTTGGCTACGGAGTTTATTTGTGCAGGGTGGTGGTGTGATTGTGCATGTAAGTAGCGGTTGGTGTGTGTTTTTTTCCGGTAGATAGTGTGTCCTAGGGAGCCATCAGGTTTTTTGTAGATTAGGACGTCAAGGAAGGGAAGTTGGTTGTTGGCTTCTATTTCCATAGTGAATTGTATTTTGGGGTGTAGGCTGTTGAGATGTGTGAGGAAGCTATCTAGTTTTTCCTTCCCGTGTGGCCAAATTACAAAGGTGTCGTCAACGTATCTGAGCCAAAGTTTGGGTTTGTGTTCTGACTTGTCTAAAGCATTGGTTTCAAAGTGTTCCATGTACAGATTTGCGATGACCGGTGAGAGGGATCTATGGCACCTATGGGATCACCCATAGGCACCTATGGGATCACCCCTCTCACCGGTCATCGCATATATATATATATATTGTCCAGTAATACCTTAGAGACCAACTAAGTTTGTTCTGGGTATGAGCTTTTGTGTGCATGCACACTTCTTCAGATACACTGAAACAGGAGTCACCAGACCCTTATATATAGTGGGAGGGTGGGGTGGGGTTTTTCTCAGGAGGGTAGTAGGAGATGGGTGATTGGCTCAGTGGGTATGGTAAACCTGTTGACCACTGTTAACGACTGCAATTAGTCCTACAGGAAAAGCAAGGGAGAGTATGCAGATGATTAGCATATTTAGCATTGTAATATGCTTGTCCTGAGTTTTTGTTACTCAGAACTTGATGCAATTGGTTTAGCCAGAAGTTCCACGTTGCTTGGAAGTCTGCTTGTTTAATTGCTTTTCCAGCTTTCCTTTAGGCCCCTCACACTGATGTGTCCTTTGGAATGAGCATTTCAGAGAGGCTCCCCAATTCCTGGTATCTCCCCCTCTCCTGTTGTTCGCTGTCTTGGGCGTCCTCCTGAGCTCATAGCCCTCCCCTCACTGGAAAGGACACCATTCTTGGGGAAGGGTGGCAGCTCAGTGGTAGAGCATCTGCTTGGCATGCAGAAGGTCTCAAGTTCAATCTCCAGCATCTCCAAGTAGGACGGGGAATGCCCCCTGTCTGAAACCTGGGGAGCTGCTGCCAGTCAGTACAGACAATACCCAGTATCAGGCAGCTTCCAATGTACCTGAAGAACTCCCAGGCTGAGTCAGGATGCTGCCCATGCTGGGATGGCATGTCCCTTCTTGGCCTGGTTTTGTGAATATTTGGCTGTGCCAAACAAGTTGTGGAGCCACTAGGAAGCCGCAAAAGACACAGCTGCTTTCAAATGAGAAAACAAAATACAAATAAAATGCCATCCTTACAGTTACTGGAAGAGTATAATTTTCTTTTCTTTTACCTTTCAGCCCAGATGTCCCAGAGAAGATATTTACTAATGGCGTTTTAGTGGTAAGTTTATGAATTCTGTTTCTTTATCTGACCAGCTAGTAGAGCTTAGGTCTATAAAGTGCAGGCACTCAAATTCTGCATACCTAAACACAACTTTCCTGTGCATGACAAGCTGGAACTGGAATTTGTGCTACTTAGCTCTCCCACTCAATTCCCCCAAGGTGAGGAAGCTCAGACTGGAACAGAGAAGCTGGTTAGAGTTGCCACACTCCACCTTGCATTCCACCATCAGATGAGTGCCACCAAGTGGTAAAAATCAAAGCATGCTATCCCTGCCACCTTCATACTGAAGCTTCCTAAAACACGGAGATTGGGACATGCCAGTTGATTTAAGCTTCTGTGTGCCTAACATTTCCCCCTGCACTGCCTAGAGAATTTAACAGACTCCAACATGTGCTGGCAGAATATTCATAACTATAAAACCGTGTTACATTGTTGGTGCAGAGGTGAGGAACTGCTGAGCTGCAGGGTGTTGTTGGACAATTAGTCATACTGGCTGGGGCTTATGGGAGCTAGATATCAGCAGTTTCCCCCATTCCTGCCCTCATGGATATTGCCAGTAGATTGACAGAAGAGAAATCCTTGCAAAGGAACCTACAATTTGGGCTACTTTACTAGTCAAGCAAAAGATTGTGCTCGGCAACCCCTCATTTCTCCCAACAGGTCTCCTGCTATCACCTCCCTAATGATGAGCTTAGACACTGCTGCTTGAAGGTGTTCAATGTGCCTTCAAGTAGCAGTCTCTAAGATACCCACCCTGCCCCAGTCTTTCCCTAGAAAAGAGTGGGTGGGTGAGAGTCTTCTTGCCCAAGGGCTACTAAGCAAAGGAGTGCAAGATGCCTTTCTCCAGAGGCATTCAAGCAAACCCCGCCATTCTGGCCTTTCCTGCTCTCACAGGTTTCGTCTTGTGTGGCTGAGGCACTCCAGTTGCCTTGGAAACAACCCCCAGCCTTTCTCCTAACTTAGAAGATGGGATCACTGGACAGCTGTAGAGCTGATCTTAAACCACCTCTGTAGGTTCAAAGTTGGCATAAGCATGGCCCATTGCTCACCAGAAGGTGGCGACAAGTTTGTCACTAAAGCAATCCAGAGGTTTATGTTTGTTCCTTCATTGGCATTGCTCATCACTATGATGGGCAGATACTGTATCTGCTTTCTTTCTATTCTAGATTCCAAAACCATTTCTGTGGTAGTGGAGATGGAGTCTGTATACTGCAAGGCAGTCTAGAATTCCTTTCTTTGGGGGTTGGGCCATCTAGTATCGGAGGCAGGGGGCAGGATTTGTTTCCACGGTAATAAAGTCCCCAAGTGCTGTGGTAATATTTTTCCATAGGTGTGAACATCCACCAATAAATTCTGACATACCCTGAATTTTGTTCCTTTCCTAACAGTCTTTTCAGTTGCATCCTATTTACTTGGCTCATTGTGGATGAGCAAATAATTCATTAAATTTATAAGAGAGATTACATTTTATGTAATGCTACATTGCATATACAGTGGTACCTCTGGCTGCGAATGGGATCCATTCCGGATGCCTGTTCGCAACATGAAAAGAGCGCAACCCACAGCAGCGCGTCTGCGCACACACGGGTTGCGATTCACCACTTCTGCACATGTGTGTGACATCATTTTGCGCATCTGCGCATGCGCGAGCGGCAAAACCCGGAAGTAACCCTTTCCGGTACTTCCAGGTTGCCGCGGGACATTACCTGAAAGATCGTAACATGAAGCAAACTTAACATGAGGTATGACTGTAGTACTCAGAGAAGCCAGAGTTAAATCTATCTGAACACATAACCTTTGAACTGGAAGGTTTAAGTGTGGGGACTGGCTGTGGCTAAAATTAAGCCCAAGTTTATTACATTTGCATCATAATAGCACCTTACATAGCAAAACCAGGCTGCGGCATAAAAATCTATATTTGTTCTAAATTCACTCTTTGATTCTAATTTTTATCCTTTACAGGCGCGTGAAGTTGCCTGTTTGGAAGTTCAAATAGATGGGGGAAGAAGGAAAACAGGTAGGCAATTTTTAATTGGGGTTGTGGGAGTGCCTTAGTTCAGTGGGAGGGCAGTGGTACACCCAGTTCAGTCCCTGGCATCCCAAGTTATTGTTGGGATAATCTCCTGTCTGAAGCCCCAGAGAACTGCTGCCAGCCGGGATGAACAATAAAGAGCTAGATGGACCAATGGTGTATGGCAGCTTTCCATGTGTATATGTAATATAATAAAATAAGAACTAGCTAGTGTTTTGTCGGCCTCTCTGCAAGCTAGCTGGTGTCGCCTCCATGCCTAGTCTTTACTGAATTGCTGTGAAGTCATAGAACATTCATGACATTTTAACTGTAGTCCTATTCAGGCATTATGCCTGAACACAAAATCTCCACGCTAGTACCCCATGCTTCTCTGTACCGAGCAGAGAAAGTCTGCAAGGGGGGATTTTACTTAACATGAGTAGAACCCTCTATATCAGTGTTTCCCAAACTTGGTTCTCCAGCTGTTTTTTTGGACTACAATTCCCATCATCCCTGACCACTGGTCCTGCTAGCTATGGATGATGGGAGTTGTAGTCCAGAAAAAGTTGGAGACCCAAGTTTGGAAAACATGGCTCTACATGATAGGGAAGAAGAGTTTGGATTTGATATCCCGCTTTATCACTACCCAAAGGAGTCTCAAAGCGGCTAACATTCTCCTTTCCCTTCCTCCCGCACAATAAACACTCTGTGAGGTGAGTGGGGCTGAGAGACTTCAAAGAAGTGTGACTAGCCCAAGGTCACCCAGCAGCTGCATGTGGAGGAGCGGGGACACGAACCCAGTTCACCAGATTAGGAGTCTATCACTCTGAACCACTACACCACACTGGCTCTCTGCTGACCCTGGCAGGAAATAGCTTTCAATTCCTTTCCCCTGATTCCTTCAAAATCTGCTGCAGTGGGTTGGAGGAAATCTGAGTACTGCCTCCTTTCCCCTTTTGTGAGGGTTCTCCTCTGTTGCAGCACCATCACTTCTGCAAACAGGAGGTGACCTTCCATTCGCAAAAAGGGTACAGTGGGTCCCAGGCTGCTTCCAGCATCTATAGCCTATTTATGAAAGCCATTTTAAATCAATTTTTTGGAGGGATTATTAATATATAGATCTCTGTATTGCTCCCCCCCCCACCTTTCTGTAGAAAGAAAATTCACTCTTTCCGTGGGAGGATCCCATGAAGAAGCTCAAAACCTCACGTTGCGCACCTGGCTTTGCCGTGCTGCTCCTGCTAAATTTCACTACATCAAATATAACCAATCAGAATTGGATATTGAACTGCCAAGGAGACAGCTTCTTACGGTATGTTGGGTTTTTTTTGTCTCCGTAATAAGGCTGAGGGGAGGCTGAGCCACAGACATTCGTCAAGTAGGAGCCAGGAGACACCAGAGGTGAGAGCTGAGGCAGTGAAGCCAGAGGACACACCAAGAGGCACCATAAGTCAGTGCTGGGCAAGACTATCCTTGCCAGCTTGTATTGGAAACCTTTACAGAGAAGCCCTTCCTGGTGAAGAGAGCCATGGCCAGTCTTGGGCGGGCCAGGACATTTCAGTACAGTAACTGGCAACTCTTCAAGTCAGTTGCGGAGGAAGGGGTTTCGGTACCTGGGATGGCGGGGGTGTGGTACATTGCCAGTGGGGGCATGGCACGTCACATGCGGGGTGTGTGGCATGTCACCCATGCGAGCTTCCCAATGGGGCGGTGCCCACCTGTGCGAACATCACAAGGCGGTGGCGTCCGCCTGAGTGAGCGTCATGCCAATGGGGCGGCACCTGCCCACCCGAGTGTCCCAAGGGGGAGGTGCCTGCCTATGGCGATGTCACGCCCCCAGGCTGGCACCTGGGGCACACCTCCCCCCTGCCCCCTTCCTCTCCCACTGCTTCAAGTGCCCAGGGAGACACTTTACCCTCATGGTTTACTACCAAGCACCTGGTTCCTAGTTCTAGCCTCAGAAGCCCGTGAAAGAAAATATCAACTGCTTTAGATGATTTTCTCCTAGTGATAAATTTCATTTTATATGCAGGCCTCCTCAGACACGAATGAGTCAGCAACTGTTCCCCTGAACACTCTTCCTATCAAAGAGCAAGTGACAATACCACCGGTGAGACTTCCTATTGACTCCTAGGGATACCCCCCCCGCGCGCGCATTAACACTTTTTTCAAATAATGGGACAATATTGAGTGCATTCACACAAAGAAAAAACACCCCATGTTAACTCTTTCTTGTCATTCGCTTGAGGTAAAGCTTTCCTATGAATGTGGCCCACATTCTCTGATTTATATTTAGCTAGAGTTTGAATTATGTTAATACTTTTGGCACATTTCAGCACCAAATGCAGGGCACATGGATAAGAAAGTTTCACAATTTCCTGCCTGCCATAAATTATGGTGTAAACTAATCCATACTTTCATTATCACTCAAACCAGGACAGTTCATATTTATTTAATTTGCTTGATTTGAAAACAGACTTTTTATCTCTCCCCCTTCTCTCTTTACAAATGAAGATCTGTAGTTATAAAACTGCTCTTATCCCAAGTTCATGCTCATCACCCAGTAGATATTTTATCTATTACCATCACCAATTTTTAACTTCATAATAATGACCCAATTGGTTATTTCATTATTTGGGCCATTGTTTGGGCCATTGTATCAATGCATTGTTTTATTTTGAGATTCTGATCTACTTAAAAATACAATTTTGGGAATGCAGGTCCAATTTTGCATAGTTAAGAGGAAGATGGCAATTGCCACCTACAGTACATGTATTTTGGGTTACTTTTGGGGAGGAGTAAAACCACAGAGGAATTTAAATACTTTCTGGAACAGACAGAAATGAATACTCAAATGTCCCTTGGTACTTAACAATATATCTTCAAGCTGAACTGAACTTAATATCTCTCCACCCAGCATTTGCAGAACCTTCTGTCCACTAATGAAGGGAGATCATTTTTGCATCTTTCGGGGTTTTTGCCACCCAGCAGTTACTTGTATTTCTATTTAAGCAAAAGATGGGAATAATCCCTTAGCATCTCATTAAAAGTGTACATTTTCCAAAACAAATGTTGACCCAAACTTTGGCCTCCCACACCAAGCATCTCTTTTTTGGGGGGAAGGGTCTTCCCCCAGACATTCAAAATTCAAATGTAAACATTCAGTTCATCCCTCATGTATGTATTTTTGATTATTTTTTTCAGAACAAAACATTTGATTTGAGCGTGAAGTCAAAAGATTGGTAAGAAAACCTCTTCTTAACCTGAGCCTCCCCAGTCACATGTATTTCCCCTCACTCCTTAACTACTTTGCTTTTATATGGAATCTCACAAACCTATGATGTTTTGAATGTCTGGCTTGAGGTGAATTAACACCAAAAACCATTATGTGTGAATGTAAGAAATACATGCATCTTCAAAGCAATTTGGTACCAAGTTTTTTAAAACCGTTTGTTGTCCAGGTGATCTGCCTTGGGAAACAGTTCTTAAGATGCTTAGCAATTACATGGACCAAATGAGACACAATCCAGCTGTTATGCACTATGATTTCTATACCTTTAAGCACACTTATTTACCTTCTGGATTCTGTCCATTGCATTTAAGTGTGTTCAGATTTTAACAAAACCACATTATGGGCATTGCTCAGAAAACATTGCTCCCCGGAATCATATGCTCAGTCTTCCCTCCCCTTTCTTTTTTCCATAGAAACCTTGAGCTTGAGCCTCCACTTCCCTGTCTTTTTATTTACATCCTGCTTGCTTATACAGCCAGCACCACGCACCTGCTCCAGGAGGTGGCACTGCTGTCAGATTCCTCCTCCTCGGTCTCCGTGTTGCTGTTGTAAAACTAACCCATTGGGGAAGAGGGTGGAGACGTAACCTGGGTAGAGCAACAGCATAAATTTAAGGCTCATCCAGCACACACTCAAAGCACATGACTTTCCCCAAATAATCTTGGGAACTGTGGTTTAAGGGAACTGTGGGGGTTGTAACTTTGTGAGGGGGGGATTATGGTTTCCCAGGATTCTTTGCAGGGAGTCATGTGCCTTAAATGTACATTTGATGTGTTGTAAAGGTATGGTATGGGGACGTGGGTGGCGCTGTGGGTTAAACCACAGAGCCTAGGGCTTACCGATCAGAAGGTCGGTGGTTCGAATCCCTGTGACGGGGTGAGCTCCCGTTGCCTGGTCCCTGCTCCTGCCAACCTAGCAGTTCGAAAGCACCTCAAAGTGCAAGTAGATAAATAGGTACCACTCTGGTGGGAAGGTAAACGGCGTTTCCGTGCACTGCTCTGGTTCGCCAGAAGCGGCTCAGTCATGCTGGCCACATGACCCGGAATCTGTATGCCGGCTCCCTCAGCCAATAAAGCGAGATGAGCGCTGCAACCCCAGAGTCGGTCACGACTGGACCTAACAGTCAGGGGTCCCTTTACCTTTACCTTTTAAAGGTATGGCGTTAGTTAGTTCTGCCTGTCATTGGCTCTGGTTCCTCTTCCTGTTTGCTTTCCATTTTGTCAGCACCGTTGGACAGCAGCCACCCCTGACAGCAACCTATTCAGTTTGTTTAAAAATCAGCTTGTGGTTCAGTATGAGGTAGGGGCAAGACTGCTACTGCTGCATTCTACCCTGATGGTTAGGAAATGTGCACACTCGAGCAAATGTTTCTTTGATAGATTGCAGCCAGCAGATGTAGCAGGCTTTAAAACTGTCTGCGTAAATTTCTCTTGGCCTTAGGACTCAGGGCCTGCTTTGTAAAAGGCCGAAAAGTCTTGATGTGCGTCTAGGATATGATCTGTGCTCAGATGAAAAGAATTTCCTACAGAAACGGAAGAAAGTGGTTGCTGCTACTCTGAAAAGTCTTCTTCATTTAGACCAAGACCTGAAAGACCATGAAGTAAGTGGATCACAAGAGTGCCATTTTCTCCCTACAGATCTTGGTATCTAGTGCTACACTTAAGCATTTTTAGACTCTGGTTTTATGATGGGAAATTGGCTCTGTGGTGTTAGTCCTGTGTATTTCTTCACTACTACAAAATGTTGTGACCCAGTCTTGCTGCATCTTAGAACCTTCTGCTTATCCTTCTAATGAGGCCCTGGACTTATTTATTAAATGAAGTTTTAACATGCCTTTCAGAATAAATTATGCTGCCAAGGCAGTTTATGTGTCAGCAAATCAATACAGTAACATTATACAAAAGTTAAAAAAAAGTTACTCTGCAATCCTATATTTTTTGGGAAGTGGCCATTGGAAACTGGCCTGAGATCTGCAGACGAAGGGCAGTACACAAATTTAATAAATAAAATAATAACCAATAAAAAACTGGTTATTTTCTTGTGCTCAACAGGTGCCTGTGATTGCTGTGACAACTACAGGAGGTGGAATGAGAGCATTAACCGCTATGTATGGCACCCTTTGGGGTCTCCAGAGACTGAAGCTTTTGGACTGTGTTTCGTATATAACAGGCTCCTCAGGGACAACATGGTAAGGGATGAGAACTGTGATTTGTGTGAGCTACATGTGCTGAAACCCTTCTTCCAATATTGCATCATTATTTGACTACCAGTGAAATTAGAGGCAATTATTAATTGATTTCATAGCGTACTGTTACAATTAAGTAGGTGTACATAGTTTCTCCTTTGGCTTTCTGCACCAGCAAGGAAGTACTTAAATTTTATAAAACTCCAGAACGCCCTTGGTATTGTGAGTCTATGCAGAATAATTTTTCCTCAGTTGCTCCGTGAGTCAGTTGTTTGGTCAGGTCACAAGGCAGGACTAATAATTTATTACCTGGGAGTCGAGAAATGAGAACAGTGCTTCTCAGTATACGCAAATTCCCCCCCCCTCAATAGCTGAGCTAGTTTATTGGTTTCAAAGAACACAATGAGCTGAGCCAAATTTCCCAACAGTCTAATACAACACAACATATGTCTGCTCAGGATTAGGCCCCATTGAGTTCAAGGGGGCTTACTCTCAGGTGAATGAGTATAGAATTGCAGACCAAGATGCTAGAAGTTGGCAGGATAGTCTCTTTCCCCCAACCCCCATGTCTGAGCGGGAAGAGTGGGAAGGAGCATCTCCACCACCATCGTTCTACCCGGACACTGAGGTCCAGCACCGAGGGCCTTCTGGCGGTTCCCTCACTGCGAGAAGCTAAGTTACAGGGAACCAGGCAGAGGGCCTTCTCGGTTGTTGTTGCTCGCCCTGTGGAACGCCCTCCCATCAGATGTCAAAGAGAACAACAACTACCAGACTTTTAGAAGACATCTGAAGGCAGCCCTGTTTAGGGAAGCTTTTAATGTTTGATGTATTACAGTATTTTAATATTTTTTTGGAAGCTGCCCAGAGTGGCTGGGGAAGCCCAGCCAGATGGGCGGGGTATAAATAATAAATTATTATTATTATTATTATTATTATTATTATTATTATTATTATTATTATTATTAATTTATTTGTTGATAGTTGATGGGCTGCTGATCTGTGTTTTATTTTAAAAGGACATTTAAGCTAAACTAAAATTAAATAGCATATTTTAGATGATAGGGTGTCTGAATCGTTTTTCCAGTTGTTTGTCTCAGTTCAAGCATTCAAAGACAATATGTTTAACTTTCAAAGATAACACCTGCCTACAAAAGTGAGAAAGAGTGGCGGCGGGAGTGAGAGCCCATTTCTTTCGAAATTCCACCCACCCCTTACTAGTGAATGGTTGAAAAAAATGTCTTGCAAAAGGTTCTGCACAACACTACTTGTATACTTAACCTGTATTATACAGTCTGGAATAAAAACAAATAATATCTCCTTTCCTTTCTTTTCCAGGACGATGTCAGATTTGTATGAAGATGCTGATTGGTCAAAGAAAGATCTTGGGGAGATCATCAAGAAAGCTCGAATTCAAGCAGCCAAATCTAAAATGAGTGCCTTTTCCTTGGAAAGCCTAAAAGCTTACCATAAGGAGCTATGCCAGAGGACCATAGCAGGATATAAGACATCCTTCATAGACCTTTGGGGACTCATGATCGAAGCCATGCTGAATGATGGGGTATTCTATATGTGTTTGTTTTCAGAAATGTTATCTGTTTCTTCCTTCAGAATTATTTGTGTCATCTGAAGATCTGAGGGCAGAGGAGAGTAGAATCAATACATTGCCAAATTGATGCATAATGTCATCAAAATACACAGTTGCTAAATCTCACTTACCATTCCCAAAAGCAGGGGCGAAATGAGGCTTTATTTCATCGGATCAAAGACCCAGTTTGGCACCCCCTATGCACATTTGCGTCCAAAGACGCGGGTGGCGCTGTGAGTTAAACCACAGAGCCTAGGACTTGCCGATCAGAAGGTTGGCGGTTCGAATCCCCACGATGGGGTGAGCTCCTGTTGCTCGGTCCCTGCTCCTACCCACCTAGCAGTTTGAAAGCACGTCAAAATGCAAGTAGATAAATAGGTTCTCTGGCGGGAAGGTAAACGGCGTTTCCGTGCACTGCTCTGGTTCGCCAGAAGCGGCTTAGTCATACTGGCCACATGACCCAGAAGCTGTACACCGGCTCCCTTGGCCAATAAAGTGAGATGAGCGCCGCAACCCCAGAGTCGGTCACGACTGGACCTAATGGTCAGGGGTCCCTTTACCTTTATGCACATTTGCATGCACACACACATAGACTGGGAGCCTCAATGGTGCCCCTCTGGAGGCTTCACCCACACTTGGCTAGTCCCCCCCCCATAGCTACAGCTCTGCCAAACGCTTGAGTGAAAAACTACTCCTTGCCTCTGCTGCTTTTCAGGTTTTCTGGTGATGACCACTGATTGCAGCTGAATGGCTCTCAGGTGCTGGACAAAGTCAGGATATTTCTGAAGGTTCACTTTGTTATTAATCATTTTAGCTCCATGCAATTTGCAGTTGGTCCGACAGCCAAAGTCTATTCCCACATTGACTTCAGCAACAAAATTTTTCCCTTTGGATGAGCCAGCTGCTCTTCTTCTCTTGCTTTGCTCTCATGCAAATAGAATAGAATAGAATAAATAAAATAAAATAAAATAAAATAAAATAAAATAAAATAAAATAAAATAAAATAAAATAAAATAAAGGCTATACCTTATTCCCCTGTTATAGATGGAATAAAACGGAGTATTGGGGATGTTGCCTTTGGAAAGTGCAGTCTAAGCCAACCATATGTGTCTAGTACAGAGGTGAAATCGCTGCAAACTTTGTTACCCTCTGTTTCAGCCTTCCCTAATCTGTTGCCATCCAGACATTGCGGACAGCAACTTCCAACAACACAAGTCAGCATGTCTGCAAGTCAGGGATGATGGGGTAGTAGCTCAGAGCAAATGAAGGGCAGCAAGTTGGGACAGGCTGTTCTATACTGTCCTTTCATGGCCATTTTTCATGCTGTGCTTTGAATTTATGCTGGATCCTTAAAAAAAATAATGCAATACTTAGGGGGGATTTTTGTTGTGATTGCAACCTGTAGGGACAAGGCCAGCCCTTGCATGATTCACAGGGAGGCAGCTGCCTCAGGCGGCAAATTCTGAGGGGTGGAAAGTAGATAGGAATGTTGCTGTGTGGTCTGCCTTGCAGCCCCTAAGCTAGCTAGCTTGCTGTCCTAGGGTGCAGTGGAGGACTCTGGCCCATCACTAGTGATTCAATTACCTGTCTAGTCAGATTTTGTGCACAAAATGGGAAATGCACAATCTTGTCCTTTGCCTTAGGCAGCAAAATGGCTTGGGTTGCTCCTGTGTAGGGAGGAAACATGTAGCCTTTCCTTCTTTAACCTGTATCATGATTGAAATCCCCCCTTAAAGGCAGGAAACTGCTAGCTATTTCATTTATTATTATTGTATTTTTACTGCCAGAGATGGGGAGAGGTGCTTGTGGAATGTGTTACCTCAGGTTTCAAAACAACCCAGACAGCTTTGGGTACTGTGCACCTCGATTTGAGGGCTGGATGATACCATTTGCTGTTCTCCTGAGGCAGCAAAATGTTTGGGGTCAGCCTTGCAAGTTCCTATTTTTCCCAGATAATCAAATATATAACGTGTATTTATTTTCCCTACAAAAACCCAGAACAACCACCATAAACTCTCAGATCAACGACGAGCATTGAGCAAAGGCCAGAACCCTCTTCCAATCTACCTGGCTTTGAACGTTAAGGACAATGTTACCACAAGAGATTTTAGAGGTAATGTTTTCCCCAACCTTCTTCATATTTTAAATTGGTATGGCAAATTACATGGTCAGGTATGCACATATCAGAACCAACAAAAAGGGAAAATTCATCTCCTGGACTCAAGCTGAGCTCAAGCACATGGGCAGCAGCAGCATTCTGATCCTTTCTTCCCCACCAGGTATAGGGAACCTTTGGCCCTCCAGATGTGGTGGAACCAGGGCTTTTTTCAGCTGGAACTCGCTGGAACTCAGTTCCGGCACCTCTCTGATAGGAACCATTGCCATTATTTGAGAACAAGGGAGGTGTTCGTAGTGAGTTCTGGCACCTCTTTTTCTAGAAAAATAGTACTGGCCGTGCATCATACCTGGCCATTGGCCTTGTTTTCTAGAATTGATAGAAACTGTCGCTCAGTCACAACTGGAGGACCCAAAGTTCCCACTACATGATACAACTGTGCCAGAACCCTTCCAGATTGTGATGAAGGATAACTGATGACACCATCTTAACTTTACCCTACAAGTCATTTATTAGACCTAGAATGGCCACCTGTTGAAACAGGATACTGGATTAAGTGGTCCTTTGACCCAATCCAACAGGGATCTTCATATTTTCTTAACCAACTGCGTAGATTTAAAGGAACTTTCCATTGTCACCGTTTCTGGAAGGGTAGCCATGTTAGTCCATCTGTCCTGAGGCACCCTTGAAGGCTAAGACAATTATTATGGCATAAGCTTTCATGGACCATTGTCCACTTTATCAGATGTATACAGCATTATTCTGAGTGACAAGTACATGCGGCATGTATATTTTAGGGAGTGGGGTGTAAAAATGCAGAGAAGTATTGACTGTGATAATTACAGTGGTACCTGAGGTTACATACACTTCAGGTTACATATGCTTCAGGTTACAGACTCCGCTAACCCAGAAATAGTGCCTCAGGTTAAGAACTTTGCTTCAGGATGAGAACAGAAATTGTGCCCCAGTGGCGCGGCGGCAGCAGGAGGCCCCATTAGCTAAAGTGGTGCTTCAGGTTAAGAACAGACATCTGGAACGAATTAAGTTCTTAACCCGAGGTACCACTGTACTTTATTGACAGTGACCATTCACAGTAAAACGGTAGCTGATAATACTAACATCCTGGGATTGGTAAGCCAGTCAACACACACATTGTGATAAAATCCATTCTGCTATAGCACTGAACCCTTGATGTACCATAATTCAACGGTTGTCCTCTATGTGCACTGTAGGACAGGCAGTGATCCTATATATACACTCCCTGGTGTATCTACAGTAGAATGCAGCAGTGACATCCTCTTCCTTCTCATGGTGCCACTGCTGCTTGCTGGGATTCTGGACAAGGCAGGGGGAGGCAGCAGCAAGGACAGGAGAGCTATGGGTCACCTCAACCTGGAGCTCCTCTGATCTCACATTCTCCTCATCCTGGAATGTGCAGAGCCACAATCAGGAGGGCACCCTTACTGCTCTGTCCCTTTCACATGCTGCTACTGATGAATGCATAAGGTTGGGAAAACAGAAGGCAGTCAACCATTGTTTTATACTTTTTAAATATTGTGTATGGCCCATGAGGAAGACATTGGCTTGGAATGTGTCGGGCTGAATAAAACACTTCCTTGTGTCTCTAAACACTTCCTTGTGTGTCTTTTGTATTTCCTGTAGGTGTTAAAAAGCAGAAATGAGTTGCGGAAGTTGTTATTTAAATACCTAATCCTTTTTGATGAACACAAATTGCTGGGTTAATTATTAGCTTAATCAAAACCAAAAATAAGCATAATCCCCTCGTGTGATTACTTTCAACTGAGAAAGCTCCCCATTCTCTTTCCATAGTATAGTAAATGTGTTGAATGTTGGCTTCCTTGCAGAGTGGGTAGAGTTCACACCATATGAGGCGGGCTTCCTGAAATATGGGGCGTTTGTTCGTGCTGAAGATTTTGGAAGTGAGTTTTTCATGGGGCACCTGATGAAGAAGCTCCCAGAATCAAGGATCTGCTTTATGCAAGGTGACTTTTTATGTCTGGTGTGGGGGGGGAGGGAGGGAGGACATACCTTGACAAGAAGGCAGGCGATGATTCATTCGGTAATGCGGGTACAGCCTGCACTACTTGGGGAAAAATGTGGAACGCTGATGCATATCAGGTTTCTGTTACATTTCCACACTCACTGGGTCTTTTGTTTTCATTGCATTATGACTCCCAGGGGTGGAAGCAAACTTTAAATTCTATATATCATGCTTAAATGATAAAAAAGGCGAATTCCATGCTAGGGATTATATGGAAGGCGGACAGAAATGAATCTGCCAGTATCATAATGACCTTTTACAAATCTATAGTCTAGCCACACTTCAAAATACAGTTTCAGTCACCCCTTAGCATAAGAGGAGCAATGGTGGATCATTTCACACATCCATCTAGAATCCAGCATCCTGTTTCTAAGAGTGACCAACAAAATGCCTGCTACCAGCAAATGACATTTAGTGGCATATTGCCTCTGAAGATGGAGGTTCTATACAGATATTACGTCTAGCAGCCATTGATGGCCCATTAGTCTGGTGCAGCAGACTACTGTTGTTACTACTTGCAGTTTACCAACTTCCTTCCTTCCTTCCTTCCTTCCTTCCTTCCTTCCTTCCTTCCTTCCTTCCTTCCTTTCAAAATGTTAGTGTTCCTCATTCTGTGTTGTCCTATCCTGATCCATATACATAGCTAAGTACCACATCAATGTAGCCTTTGGGACAGCCTTTCTCAACCTTGGGTCCCCAGATGTTGTTGAACTACAACTCCCATCACTCCTAGCTAGCAAGGCCAGAGCTCAGGGATGATGGGAGTTGTAGTCCAACAACATCTGGGGACCCACTGGTTGAGAACCGCTGCTTTGGGGGCTGGTGGTAGTTCAAAATATCTGGTTAGGAAGACTACATGAATTGTTTCAAATGCAGCAGTAAACAAGCCAGCTGGTCCTGGCCAGGAAAAACCTAAAACAAGTCGCAACAGGAATATATGTAAATTCAAATGAAATGTAATTTGAAATCTGGAACAACAACTACATTTGTATACGAGTTTAAATTGTGCCACTGTTTTGCCCCAGAATAAGAAGGTTGAGGTAGATAATTTGTTGGACCAGCTTCCAGTTCAGGATAAAGTTTTGAGGGGAGAATGTTCTACTTCATTTGTTTCTTTCTTTCACAGGAATGTGGAGTAGCATATTTTCCAAGAATCTGTTGGATGCCTGGCATGCAGCTGACAATTCAGAGGACTTCTGGAACAGGTGGACCCAAGATAATATCACTGAGATTGGTAAATTATAGTCCACGCTCCATGTGATTTTTGATGTAACCATACACAGATTGGTTTGGGGGCTGGCTTCTTGCTGCGTGGAAATACCTCATTCTGAAATTTGCAATGCAAGTGCTTTGTGGGGGTGCAACTTCAACACCCAGATTTAGTTCATCATAAGATTACCTTGTTCCAGAATGGTTAATACTCATGTCTGAGCATACTCGCATACATGGTTGGCAGCCTGAACGTGCCTTTCATTTTCACTCACCTTGCACACCTGTCCCGCCTCTGTGGTCACTGGCCATTCATGGCTATAATGCAAACTTTGCCAGCCTGGTGCCTTCCAGATGGCTTGGAGTACGTGTCCCATCAATCCCAGCTAGCATGGCTATGTTGGCCCAAATAAAATCCAGAAATCAAGCATGCAGTTTGGGTCTTATGGGTATTAGATTTTTGGTATATGTGTGGATGTAATATTTCAACAGACCTATTGAAAAATTTTATTCCCATGTGCACATTTAGTGGTTCAGAGGAAGTACAGCCGTGCTCTCTTACTTCACTGTGTGTGAGTAATTGCTTATCTACTAGGCCAAGGTGACTATAGATAATGGTATCTATATTTACCCCAAGAGTAAAGGTCTGATCCTAAAATTCACCCACCTTTTAATTAGCTCCCCTGAATCATTTTAAAACAAACATATTGTACACCATCCCTATCCATGTATCTGTTTAGTTTAATTAATTTTATCTTTCTTTAGATGAAGAAAATGATTTTTAAAACAGGTTGTTCCTCATCCCTTTCCATGCACCTTAATTAACTTTGTTGTTCTTCAGATGAAGTACCTGACTTACCGGAGAGACCTCACGAGATGCCGACTCGCATGTTCACTCCAGCAGGCAGCCTTTCCAATACTCTACGGGATATTTTGACAGACCGTCCAGCGGTGTCAAAGTACCATAATTTTTTGAAAGGGTTCCAACTGCACAATGAGTATGCACAGGATCTACAGTTTTCTAAGTGGAAAGGTATACCTGTAGCATAAATTTCATTTGGAAATAAACAATTTGCATAGCATAGGCTGAATCAATTACATTTTTTCTCATCGAAGAGAATTCACTACTGTCATTATTACTGCATCACTGCTCCAACTGTTGTGCTTCGAGAGAGAGAATGAATGGGCCAGGGTGGAATGTAAGGGGATAGTGGAAACTGCACTTACTCCTACTAGGTGAAAAGACTCTTTCCTTGTGTTCATTGGCATCTCTGCAGTGGTTCCTCACCTCTGGCACATCATTGCATATGGCAGCAGCTGCTGCCCGCACCACTCTACATAACTGAAGCCAGCTCTCAGCACTAGCACAAAGGGAGTAGAGTCCTTTTGTGTTAGTACTGTGTGGAGTGTGCCTGACCCTGGGCAGGTGACCTGTGTTGTGCTGTGCTATGTTGAAAACACTGTTTCGCTGCATCCTGCAGAGGGGTTATCCCAAATTGCCCAGTATGACTTTTGGATCTCCACTGGCCTCCAGATGTTTATTACTACTACTACTACACCTACAATGTAAACTTCAAGTCATTTTTAGCAGGCTTCATGTGATAGTTGCAAGTTGCTTTTTACAGGTGTAGCTGAATGCTAAGTTGTTTCTTTAACGAGGCCTGAAATGTGTGTGAGCCATTAAGGGACTGCTATGTGTTTAGAAGAGGGACGCGGGTGGCGCTGTGGGTTAAACCACAGAGCCTAGGACTTGCCGATCAGAAGGTTGGCAGTTTGAATCCCCGCGACAGGGTGAGCTCGCGTTGCTCAGTCCCTGCTCCTGCCGACCTAGCAGTTCGAAAGCACGTCAAAGTGCAAGTAGATAAATAGGTACCGCTCCGGCGGGAAGGTAAACGGTGTTTCCGTGTGCTGCTCTCGTTCACCAGAAGCGGCTTAGTCATGCTGGCCACATGACCCAGAAGTTGTACGCCGGCTCCCTCAGCCAATACAGCGAGATGAGCACCACAACCCCAGAGTCGGCCGCAACTGGACCTAATGGTCAGGGGTACCTTTACCCTTATGTGTTTGGAAGGCCACAATACAAGACTCATGTGCAGATTCTGGGGGAAAGGATGGCTTACTGCAAGGTGGGGAGCAGTGATTGAGGTCCAGCTTAGCTGCAGCTGATCCATGGTGGTCTTCTGGTCCCTGAGTGGCCAATGGAGACTGTCACTTCCTCCTCCACTGGCTGTGTGGGCTGCCCCAGTGTTTTGGCCAATCACAAACAAGCCAGGAGACATGGTTTGGCGGGCATACAACAGGCAAGTGTTCACACCCCTGTCTTCCATCTGCTATTATCCCTAGGCTTAAAAAGAGGCCCAGACAGGAATTTTCCTCCAGAGAAATTGGGCCTGTCTGGGGTTTTTGCCTGCCTCATAGCCGTTGTCACAACTTGTTGGCGGATAAGGCATTGGGTTGGATCCTTAGTCAAGGCAGAAGGCAGGGTTTGGGAGTCTACCCTCTGGCTACAAAGAATTGGGGTACCCCATTAAAGGAGTCCAGGGGGAGGTGCTGCTATCCAGATGCCCAGATGGGGCCAATGAGCCACAGCACCCCCCTTCCATGGAGAGATCACCCCGATTTGATGTATGTCATTCTTGATCCAGGATTAACTGTGCCAAACAATCAGCAGACAGGTTGGATGATTCGGAATACACATCCAGTGCCTAAGCCAAAACCTACTAACATCTGGGGTCAATAAGGATGTGGCCTGTTTAAATCACAGGATGTTTGTCCTGTGATTATTGCACCTTCCCAACCTTGCTCCCTGGTTGTGGTCACACTGTTCCTGGGCCTAATCAACCACTCACTTCCAGCCTGTACAAAATGGATGTGGACATAAATACAGGATGCAGACTGTATGTGTGTGGAATACTTGTATACCATAGGCTCAGTGTAGAAGAACATATAGAGGTCAAAGACATCTGAAGGCAGCCCTGTATCATAGCTGTCAACTTTTTCCTTTTCTTGTGAGGAATCCTATTCGGAATAAGGGAATTTCCCCTAAAAAAAGGAAAACATTGATAGCTATGCCCTGTATAGGGAAGTTTTTAATGTTTGATTGTGTTCTTACATCTGTTCAGCGCCACCCAGAGTGGCTGGGGCAACCCAGTCAGTTCAGTGGGGTACAAATAATAAAATTATTATGTGGAGCAAGCCCAGCAAATGTGATTTGTTCTTCTTTGCCACATCTGTTGTCTTATCGGTGCTAGTTTTGTGATAAAATTATTTTTCTGAAGGGGGAGCAGAAAGGCGATTACTTCTGGATTTTGTTGGTTCTTTTCATTTGAAAGCCAATGCCTTGTTTTGTAGATACTGTGCTTGATGAATCCCCTAATCAGTTGAGAGATTCAGCAGATCACCTGGAACTGGTGGATACAGCATTTTTCTTTGATACCAGCTGCCCTCCACTTCTGAGACCAGAGAGGAAAGTTGATGTCATTCTGCACTTCAATTACACTGGAGGATCACAAGCTAAGGTTAGATGGGTATATTAATTTTTACTATTATTAAATCTTTTTGAAAGATAATCCAGATGTATGTATTGAAAACAATATCCAGAAATAATAATAATAATAATAATAATAATAATAATAATAATAATAATAATAATAATAATAGTTCTAAACAATCCAGGATGTAGGCAATTTACTTCGGAAAAAAATCATATGTTCCTAGCCTGAATTTGGTTGCAAAAATTTAAAAGTTTACTGTTCACATTTTTCATGATTCTTATTGATACTGTTGGTTTGATTTTTTTTAATTAAAAAGATAAAAAAGTATAGGAGAGGCAAATTGATATTGAATTTAAGTGCTTTAAAGTTAGGTTAAGTGCTTTAAAGTTTAGGTTAAATTGTTTTTCCTTAAGTCTGTTTAAGATTTAGAAAAAAGTTATTTTTTAAAAAAATCAATGTTGCTGAATTTAAAAGTTTCCTTTCGGCTCTAGTGGTTCCCTTTCATGACAAATTAAATGCCTGTTTTGACAGCATGGACAGTTTTCTGTATCTTGTTTTGCATCCCATCATGATCATATTATGTTTTCAAATGAAATTACTGCTTGTCAAGAACTCCATGGTTGGTTTCTTCTTTGGCCCCTGCTAAAAATGCTTCATTTTGCAACCGTAGCCTTTGGAGCGGGCCTCTACATACTTCACAGAGCAAGGAATCCCATTTCCCAACACTTTGCTGAATGATGAAGAAAAGAAAAATCTAAAGGAGTGCTACGTGTTTGAAGATGCACACAACCCAGATGCTCCCACAGTGATTTATTTCCCACTAGTGAATGACACCTTCCAAAGATATCTTGCACCCGGTGAGTTAATGGCAGCCAATATATAACAGAAATAACATTTATTTCAAGTACTTCATCCAAAACAGATTTTACACAATCTCACATTTTCTTGAGAAAGTCCTGCTGGTTGTAATGAAGTTGAAATGTGTTTTGGTTTGTGAACTTACAGCTCAATCTTAATCATATTCAAAAGCAAGTCTGATAGAGTCCAGTGATTTCCTAGCTAGCATGCTTTATCTTACAATCTGATACTTCATTTAAATCATTGCACAATGATTAGGGTGGCTTTATCTCAATTAAGATCATAGACCATATTTCTATAGTGAGGTGAGGTTAGGTAGACTTGGAATATTTATTTCTGTAGGGCATATTTCTATAGTGAGGTGAGGTTAGGTAGACTTGGAATATTTATTTCTGTTCCATGAGTTCTGACATCATAATCTGGGACTGGGAAGGAATATTATACACCAGAAGTGTAAATTTTGGACATTTGTTTTCCAATCAGAACTAATAATAATATGTTAGTCACTTTCTCTTGCTCAAGATAACTCAAAGCAATTTACAACCCAAAAAAGCTTTCCACATCCCCACATTTTATTAAAATTATATGAAAATTGCTATATTATTGCTGTATTCCACCTTTCTGCCTTAGCTGTATTTCATCAATAAAATCAATCACACAGTTAAGCATAACAAACTATTCCTGATCATACAGAAGAACTATTTTCCTGTTTGGAATTGTTCTATGGCAGGGGTCAGCACCCTTTTTTTAGCTGTGGGCCAGTCCACCGTCCCTCAGACCATGTGGTGGGCCAGACTATATTTTGAAAAAAATAATAATGAACAAATTCCGATGCCCCACAAATAACCCAGAGGTGCATTTTAAATAAAAGGACACATTTTACTCATGTAAAAACACGCTGATTCCCGGAGTGTCTGCAGGCCTGATTGAGAAGGCAATTGGATCCGGCCCCCGGGCCTTGGTTTGCCTACCTCTGTTCTATGGAATCTAAAGTGCAAATTGCTTATGCTCCTGACTCAAGATTACACAGTAATCTTCTGAATGCTTCCTTTTGAAACATTCATTAATTTACTGATTTGACACTTTTGACCAAATTCTGACCAAATTTTGACCAAACTGCCGGAGGCAGTGGAAGACAGAAGTGCCTGGCGTGCTCTGGTCCATGGGGTCACGAAGAGTCGGACACGACTAAACGACTAAACAACAACAACAACAACAAGTTGTAAACAAGTTGTAAAGAGTTGGATTTGGCCTAAGTCCACCCACATAGCTTCACATCTAAAAATCTGAGCCTGAGTGCCCCACATCCAAGCCAACAGTCTAGTCTTTGAACCACACTCCCTTTGGGTCAGAAAGGACCCCCCCAAAATGAAATTTAGATAGAGACAGGGTTGCTGTCCTTCCTGGCATGCCTTCTGATTCCACTGGCTAAGCTTTGGAGATGAGCTGTCTAAGGACTTGACTCTCTTTTCTTCTTTTCTTCTGTAGGTGTGGAACGTAGCACTGCTGAAATGTCACTGGGCAATGTTGATATCTCTAGTGCCTTTTCTCCATATTCCACAAGACAGGTTTCGCTGCAAGACGAGGATTTCAACAAGCTGCTGAATCTAACTAACTACAATGTCCAGAATAATGCAAGCACAATCCTTCATGTTTTGCACAAAGCAGTAGACCAGAAAAAACAGGCCTGGTCATCTCAGGCTGCCTCATGAATACACCTTTCTTGTAGGGATGGGGGGAGATATTCAGTTCAGTTACCATTGAAAGGTGCCAGTTTGCACTTTCCAAAAGTATATGCAAACCAAAGCACAGCAAGGCTTCAAAATTTGCACTTCTCTGAATTTTGCAATGCAGTTCTCCGGTCAAGTAATGTGTACAAAAATTCATATGCTAGGATAAATTATGCATTAAGTGCATATAATAGTGAAGCAATATGTACAAAAGTGAATTACATATGGGGAAATTGCTTTGCAAAAAGTACTTTAGGCAAAAATGTACAAAATTGTGTCTTAGTAGAAATCTGCACTAAAATGCTGCTGAATTTTCATGAGTGCTTTTAAAAAAAATGCAAACTGATGTGGAAGGTGGATAAATGAACTTAAGACTGAAACAATGAGAAACTGAAATTGAGAGATTTGCCCATCCCAACTTCCTTGCCAGCTTAAGAAGAAAACTTGTAAGTGGGGAAGAGATCTAATAGCTGGTCAAAATGGTAGTTGGTTTTAAAGGAACTCAAATAATTCAAAACTGACTACTAATTTTTTTTCTTAGTTTTTTTCAACATGGGAGACCTCACTTAGCCAAGACAAGGACAGATAGCTCTTTCTCGATGTTTACTATCATTGCAATGGTTCTAGTATGCAATTGGCAGGGTGGGATAGGGAGTTCCATCTGTGCATTTGAGCCCACAAAAGTTTGGATCATGGCATACAGATCATTGCAATTCCTTCCATATTTTCAGATCCCTTATTATTCAAATGTTTCCCTGTAGGCATAAATATTGATTCTTTACTATTCTTTTTAAATCAGCCAAGGTAGTTTTCTCACAGTATTTTCTCTAACTCATTTGAAAAGGGTGGTTAATCTTTCATCTAGATATTGTTCAGACTAAAGTGTTATTCTTAATAACTGTGAAATACAGCCCATAACAAACTTATATAAATGCCAAATTGAAATCATGGTTGAACAATTGAGTTACACTCTGGAGGGTTGTTTATCTCACAGACTGCAACCTATATGCTTTATCTGGGAGTAAGTCCCAATGAATTCAGTGGAGCTTCTTGCTGACTCTGAGGAAACACGCAGGATTGCACTGTCAGATCTGTTCTCTTACCTAATACTAATTCTTTGTTGCAGGCACAAAGTTACAGCTACCGTATTTAATCTTGTGTGTGTGTGTTAATAGGCTACCTTTATCTCTTCCTCACATGTCTTTTGTTTTAAGAACTGGTTTCCTGTATGATGGTAGATGTATATAGTCAGCTGAAAAGTTTATGGTTAGGTAACTGCTTTCATGTGAAGAAATGCTAAAATCAAAAGCATGAACAAACAACAATAAAATTTTGCCACCTAGTCACTTCATTATTTTTTCTGTTCATGAGTTTTGCTTTTCCTGCTTGGATGCATGGCCTGGTTTGAACTCTTTAATTATGAAGGGTGTGGCAAAAAGTGCCTGGTTTTAAATCTTTAATTATGAAGGGTGTAGCAAAAAGTGCCTAGCTTTTTTATAGCTTTTTTATACACATAATTAATATATTGTGTACTTTTTCCTTTAGAATCTATCTGCCACCTCAAGGGGCACTCAAATTCACTAAAAAAAATGCTTAAGTATTTATTTTATGAGATCAGCTATTCACTGCAAGGTCCCAGTGTGGGTTACAGCAAAAAAAAAAAAAAAAACCCAACTACAAAATATTTACAACCATGAAACGAGAAAAGTGTAAAAAAAACCACAACAATTTAAAAAACAGTTCCTTGCATAAAACAATGTAAAACCATTCCACATATAAAAACATACTACAACCATTTAAAAAGTCTATATACAAAAAGAGTTTAAAATAGTTAAAATACAGAGGCTGACTCAGATTGCTACTAAAAAAGTAGCTTTAAGGTAAAGGTAAAAGGTACCTCTGCCCGTACGGGCCAGTCTTGACAGACTCTAGGGTTGTGCGCCCATCTCAAGAGGCCGGGGGCCAGCGCTGTCCGGAGACACTTCCGGGTCACGTGGCCAGCGTGACATCGCTGCTCTGGCGAGCCAGAGCCGCACACGGAACGCCGTTTACCTTCCCGCTAGTAAGCGGTCCCTATTTATCTACTTGCACCCGGGAGTGCTTTCGAACTGCTAGGTTGGCAGGTGCTGGGACTGAACAACGGGAGCGCACCCCGCCGTGGGGATTCGAACCGCCAACCTTTCGATCGGCAAGCCCTAGGCACTGAGGCTTTTACCCACAGCGCCACCCCCGTCCCCAGGGATGACTTTAAGAAGCACCAAAAGGCTTATAGTCATGGCTCCTAATATTAAACAGGGGAGAATTCCAAACAGCAGGTGCCACCACACCAAAGTCCCAGTTCCTATATACTGCAGAATACAGTGGTACCTCGGAAGTCGAATGGAATCTGTTCTGGAAGTCTGTTCATCTTCTAAAACGTTCAGAAACCAAGGCACGGTTTCCGATTGGCTGCAGGAAACTTCTGCAGTTAATCAGAAGCTGTGTAAGCCACATCGATCGTTTGGATTTCAAAGAACGTTTGCAAACTGAACGTTCGGTGTTTGGGAGCCGAAACGTTAGACTTGCAAGGCGTTTGGGACCTAAGGTATGACTGTATTAGGCCAATGGACCATCTAGTCCAGCATCCTGTTCTCAGTGACCAACCAGATGCCTGTGAGAAATCTGCAAGCAGGACATGGGCACAATGGTACTGTGTCATTCTGTGGTTCCCAGCAATGAGTAAGGCTTTCTGTGGTTTCCAAGGGTATGAAACACATGTATGGTAGTATTTCTACTGCAAATGTATCTCATCCCACAAACTGAAATATCTATTTTGTGGCTAATGGCTCCTCCAGACAGCCTGTTTATTGAGCATTCATCCTGATTTATTGCACAAAGCTTTCATAAGAGTTAGACTACACCTCACCCTTGTTGGGTGTTTGCTCTGATTTGCTTGCAGGATATGTTATATAACAATGAGAATCCTGATTTGCTTGCAGGGTGTTTACATGTCATCTCTTTCATCATTCTTTCATTTCACATTTGTGTGTCGAGACCCCGAGGCCACCCCCGCGTTGATGAATAAGACACAAGGACAAGGATATTAAGTTAATGGTTATTGGGCAAATTTAGGCCACAACTTTATTGGTTACAGAATGGGAGCAGTATTGGCTTAGGCATTGCAATTGACCTGACTATATCTGACTTCTGCCCGTCATGCAGGGAGTCTGTAGGGGTCAACCACTGGTAGGGGGAGTCCCGCCGATGCAAAGCAACTCAAGCTCCTCCTGGGTTCCCGACAGGGTTGTGGCAAGGCCCTAGCCCTGCCCCGGACTTCGGACAAGATCACACCCCCCCGGATTCCTTTAACGGAAAACCCTTAAGCTTGGAGGGGCAGGTGATGGCCACACCTCCCCTCCCCCATCATAAGACCAATGCCTAACCACCAAACCTTACAAAGTTGTGACGATTGGTACACGGTAGGCGAAAACCAAATGCCCCAAGCCAATTTGCCAAGTGGAAAAATTCCTACCAGACCCCTCAACGGCGACCAACCGAGGTCCATAGCAAGGCCAATGTCAAAACCTGAAATTAGGGAGAGCGGGCGGAAGATCGAGGAAGTGAGCCAGAAGGAAGTTCCCTGGCTCACACCTTGGTTTAAATGGGTCCTGGCCATGCCCTCCAGCCAGCGGATTGGCTGGCTGGAACTATGGCATGGCAGGGACCTCCGGGTGACGCAGGACTCTGCCCCTGCCCCCGGAGGGGAGCGGGTGGCCATGTGGTCCACAGCAACTCCTCCCCACTGGGAAGTAGAGCGGATTTTTCAATGTATTACCCCATCAATTTCCTAACCACTCAAATTCTTTTGTAAAAAGAAAAGAAAAGGATTTTTTGGTGTGCATTTTAAAACTTTTTTCAGATTAATGCAGAATGGATTTACAGGTGAACACATGTAAAAGTGACAGACAATAATAATAATAATAATAATAATAATAATAATAATAATAATAAATAAATAAAAAAATTATTTTTATTATTATTTGTACCCTTCCCATCAGGACGGCTTCCAGCAAATATAAAAGCATAATAAAACATCACACATTAAGAACTTATAGGGCTGCCTTCAGATTTCTTCTAAAAGTTGTATAGTTACTTATCTCCCTGACATCTGACCGGAGGGTGATCCACAGGACTGGTGCACTTTCAGTAAGACCCTCTGCCTAGTTCCCTGTAACTTCTTGCAGTGAGGGAACCACCAGAAGGCCCTCAGAGCTGGACCTCAGTGTCTGGGCTGAACAATGGGGGTTAAGATGCTCCTTCAGGTATACAGGGCCACGGCCATTTAGGGCTTTAAAGGTCAGCGCTAACACTTTGAATTGTGTTCAGAAATGTACAGCTATTTGCTCACAACAAAACTATGCCACCCAGTAAATGGGATGAGGATATCATGTCACTTGTCTACTAGTGGAAGGACAGGAAAAGCAAGAGAATAACACTAAGCAAACATCTTTTTATTGATGGATTTATTGCAGTAATTAAGAACACAGAACCCATGGCATTTTGCAGCTCCATCAGAAGAGTAGGTAGAACTAATTCTGGCTCAATATAAACACAAAAGTAATATGTTTAAAACTGAAGGGGGTTTCATTAATACTAGGGAATACCTCTTCTTTTGTGTTATTGTTCCCTGGACACATAGACCATTGTTATACGTGGCATAACAAGAAGGGCACAGGATTTGTGTATCCTCACCCAGCAGGGTACCAAATCAGTCCTCGCCTGCAGTCATTTGCTGCTCTAAAGGCCCCTCTTTGCTGCTGCTGCTGCTGCAGGAAAGCAAGGGCACAAAGCACAATATAAGGAAGGGTCAGAGCAAGACCCTGAAAAGGGGGAGGCGGAGTTTGCCTGTGCTGCTGCTGTGATGCAGCAACTACAGTTTAAACATGATCAAATTGCAATGCTTTAAAACCTAGCAGCTTACTGTCCTTATCCTTTAAAAACATAGCTTCAAAAAAGAGAAAATAATAGACTGCTTGACCCCATGTTACATGCAAACAGGGCAGGCAACACATTCAGCAGCCGCCCTATCATGTTGCGATTGGCCCTTGTCCTAAGGACGAGTTGCAGAGATAAATAGACTTAATTTGTTATTATATCTGTACTTCAAGTCCGATTTGGCAGATCTCCCCTAGAAAGACTAATGTTTGATGCAACCTGTCTGAGAAAATTAATGAGCAAATGCCCAGATTTTATTTCATCGGAACTGAGTGAAGACGGCGTCTGCCACCAGAGAAAGACTTTTGGATTGAATCGGCATAAACACCAGCGTGTGAGGACATTCTGCAAACAACAGACTTACCAGCTGAAAAAAAAAAAAAGAGTCATACAAATGTCACACAGAGGCACATTCTTGTTTATTTCAACTCGCCTGAGGAAACAGCTCATTATTTATAATTTATGAAAGCTTATTCAATAATGTGTTTCTTAGCCTTAAAAATGCAACTCGACTATTATTTTGTTTCTGCTGTAAGCCATGGCTAGCTGGTTTATCGCAATAGCTAGTTAGCACCTGCTTCCCCAGTGCAGAATCTTTGCTCATATTTAATAATAATATTCTACGACAGTGATTCAGCCTGAAATAGAAACTCTTCATTACCAGTCAGCCACATGGAATCACTGCTATGCTTTGAACAAGCGGGATAAACAGGAGCAATTGGCTCTCCACCCAAGATAATTATCACTGTAATATTAAGAGCAGTTGCAGGTCTGGCTTTATCAAAATCAGTAGCCAATGTTACGCTCCAGGCAAGGAAAATATGAATAGATTTTATTTTTGAAGGGAACTCCCTTCAGCTGATACCTGTTGAGGATCCTAGGTGAGATACCAACATAGTACTGGTTGCTCCCAGTACCAGTCACCACACAAAATCTGATAAAGTTTCAGATAGTTTACTGTTGCAGAAGATAAGACTCAATAATACAGTTCTGGACACAGCTTGTATATACAGCTTGTAGGCTTTTTCAGATACATATATAATGATACATACAAGTACAAAGAATATCTGTTGCTCTAAATAAGTTCAGCAATTCAAGACATAACACTGGGCAATTACTACTGATTGGCTAACTGACTAAGAGACAGATAGACTAACTACAGATTGACACACTGAGCTGGCATGCATTAATCACAAGATATAGTTGGTGCACTGGGCCTTTACTATAGGAACTGGCTTTATTAACATTGCACCTGTGTTTAGCTCATCCATGACCCCAGTTACACTCATGAAGGAAATTAACCCCTTCTCCATTACTCCAACAATGTTTCCCCAATTTTGGAAGAATTT